AATATCTGTTCTTGCACCTGGGTCAGCACTTTGGTTTCCAACTTCACCTGCAAAGTCTTTGACAGATATTTGGTGTATAGGGAACATAAGTGGAACTGCAATATATTTGGCAGCTAAAGCATTTGAAATATCTGGGTCCAACATATAAACGGCAAGTCTGCTTTCTATTCTCTTGCATTCAAACTGTTCGCATGTGAACTTAACTGGGTCCCAAGCAGTTCCAGCAGCATTGAAATAATAGTTTTACTTCATTGTTGAAGTTTGAGAAACCAAAGTCTAAGTCAACTTTGTCTTTGCAAAAGTCACAGAACTTGGCTCCACCAGTTCAGCTACAGTAATGCTGAATGGGTCTTGTGTTGGTGCAATGACTAAGTTATTTTTGCTTGGAGTAAGTTCAATAGAAATTTTTCCTGCCCAGTTTGGTAAGTATCTTAAAAACCTGAAGATGAGGAAAGATGACAAAGGAACTCTAAGTTTCAGTTTTACTTTAGTGGCAGCAGTTCCATCTGAACCAGAAAGGTTAACATAAACCCTGGAACGTTAGGGTCAAGTCTTCTTATTTTCTCAATAGTTGCATACTGGTCTGTTTGTTCTCTAGCTTGTGGTTGTGTACTGAGTTTCTCAAAGCGAACCATTCATAGTTTGCCCATGTTACTGTTTGAACTAAGTCAGAGTTAGAATATATCTTATATCCCATAAAAACTTCTGGAGCATATTGGTATCCGACATAGAAAATTCCATTGCAACCTTTCTTGTCAGACAACTTGGCAGAAGGTTTTATTTCAATGTCTTTTCCACGTATAAGAATGAGTTGTCAATAGAAATAATATGAAACCTGTCGCAAGCAATATCTACTGTTGTTGAAGAACCTTCTCCAAACTCACCTACGTTTCCATAAGAAACAGCAGTTGTATATTCGTAAGTTCCAGGAACTATTTCTGACCTTCTAATGGCATTGTCGCATTCGTTATACCATTCGGAAACATTTCCATTCATAGCATCCAAAACTGTTGGCGTTATATTCTGAGCGGCGTACATTTCATATGAGTAAAAATATAGAATAGTTGGATTTATATGTCATAATAGAACCCACGTGGACCAAGCTTTACTTTCTTCCTGACTGAGTTTTTAACTCTTCTTTTCCTTCATTGCCACTACTTTCACTAGATGAAGTTACTTCTTCACTACTTTCACTTTGTTCTACTCTTCTTCTTTGGTGTCGCTTTGGTAACTTGCCCTCTGCTTCAAGTTGTTGCATCTTTGCCTCATGTTCACCTAGTATGTTGTAAATTTCCCATGTCCTTTTTGCCTTTGGGCTCTGGTCGCCCATCTCAGGTACCCTATATCCTAGAAAGAGTTTGTCATAGTTTGTATTTGAGTCTTCGCGTATTGTTTGCATGACTCTTTCCTGAGTTTCCGGTTCAAGCTCTTCAAACAGAGCCTGTCCATATGGAATAAGCTCGTTTCCAAATATATGTTTTTGTAGCCATTCTGGTTTTCTTTCCATGTTACCAACTATATCTTTTGTGAATGGGAAAGCTTTTACCCAATCTTTCAGTCTTGCGTCGTTTATTTCTGTAGTTGGTTTTATTTTGTCAAGGAACATGTTTTTCAATACTAACATTTCATTTGGTACTGTCCATTTGAGTTTTCTTAAATATTCATCCTTCTCATTTCATTGTCTGCAAAGTAAGTTTTTATGACATTTTGTAAACTTTCGTTTGCAAGGTCATGTACAATAGGTTCTCTTCCTTCGCCCTCCCTAACTTTCTTTCTAAACTCTTCACCAAATATACCATCTCTATGGTTCTGTGTAGTTCTTTGAGATAAATGTTTTAGAACGTCAGGTGTTATATTTCCATCAGCCATGTTCATTTCATACTGGTCCAAAATATCTGCATGTTTCATATCTTTCAATGGCATTAAAAGCGCGCTGAAAATACCAGCTATATCTGGTTCACCATTGACTTCCATTGCGTCTACAACTTCTTGGAATTGTGGTTGTAGTTTATGAACCACCTATCCGGGTTAGCTTTATGACCCCATCTCATTGTAGTTCCATCGTCTGCAGAAACAAAAGTAGGTTTGTTTCCATCTTGGTTAGGTTCTGAATGAACTTTAAACAATGTTTCATTTCTATATGTTTTCTTGAAATTTAACCTTTTATTTTCACCGAGTTCATCCGAAGATTGAACGTTAAATGCTCGTAAGTAAAAAGGGTTGTTGTATTTGTGTACATTTTCTTTCAGTACTTCCATTCTATGCTGAATATTTTCATCTGGTGTTGGAGTCTTTTGTATGTCGGCAAACATTTTTCGATATTCTTCTACTATGTCAGCCGAATTTTTTTTAGACTCTTGGAAATATTCCATATTCTCCGCATACTCTTGTTGAGGGTCAAGATTTTTCGGCTGTTCCAAATCTTCATCTAGTTCTGTGAAGTTAGTTTCCAAAGGAGTGACTTGTTCGTTTCCTTCAGGCTCTTCTAGCTGTTGTTGCTGAACTATTTCTTCCATGTCTGGTTGTATCTGAACTAGTTCTTCCTGTGGAGTTTCTTGTACCTCATCTGCTGGCATTTCATATATTCCGAGACCGTTTTTCAACAATTCCCTATCTACGTCATCCGCATTCATAAGCTTTTGTTTCTTCGTTCCGTCTCTATTTTTTTACGCGTTTCATGACGAAAGTTGAATTGTCATTTAGCTCTGACATCAAATATCTCGGAGTAAATTCATCCATGGTCATTTGGATGATATGCTATTAAATCAATCCCTTACGAGCTTGTATTTTCCAGGTTTGAGATTATATCCGTTTTGGTGCTGAGCCATAAAGCTAAAATAGGTCCGGTCAGTATTTCCATCCTTGAACTTTCTAATAGCTTCTTTATATCTGTCACTAAAGTCAATACTATCTGGGAAACCACACTCTTCTTTAAGCATTTTTAAGAATTCTTGGTTTCCTTGTTCTCTACTTCTTTTATGTCCTTGCTCTGTTTGTGGTTGTTGTTGTGCAGGGTTTTGAACTGTTGGTTGCTGTGCTGGTTGTTGTGTTGGTTGCTTGTGCTGTTGTTGTGTTGGTTGTTGTTGGTTGTTGGTTGGTTGTTGTGTTGGTTTTGGTTGTTGTTGTGGTGCATGCCTGTGTCTATGTCCATGTGACGATGTAAATGTGTTAGGTAGTCCTGGTGCAGGTGCTTCTCTTGGAGGGTTTGGTGGTATATAAGTTCCACCAGCTGGCACATATGTTCCATCTGCAGCGTAATGTCCTACCTGACTTTTCGTTTTAAGAAAGCATTTACTAGGTCTGTTTGGTCTGTTGTAACTCTTTTTCTTGACTTTTCACAACAGTTGCTCTAACGGCGTCATAGGCACTTTGAAACTGCCTGTCTCGTTGCTGCATCTGTTATTTCGTCATATTTTGTGCTACTTCTTTAACTCTTTGTCGAAACCTTCAGACTTCAGTTTCTTTCCAGATGAGAAGTCGTTCATTGTTTCACCTTACTATGAGAGCTTCGAAAGCGTTCTTAAAGTCAGCATTTGTTAAAGCTTCATTTGAACTATCTTCATCCGCTTGTATTTTTGTCCTTATTGACCCTATGAGTTGGGCTGCTTTAGCGTTGGCTTGGGCATCTAACCAGTCATTGTTAGCTTTTATATATTCTGCGCTTTCATTGCCTTTTGCATAGCCGCGTCGTTATTTTTACTTTCTTTGTGCTAAGTTTTCATACTGTACGGTTTGGTTTTGCAACTGTAAAAGTTTTTCTGCCTTTACATTTGCTTCAACTTCTTTTTATACTCATCGCTATCCATATATGTCTTCAGGCTTTTTGTTTTATCTCTTCATCTTTCAGTATTTTATATTGAGTAGTATGGTTTTTCAAATTTATGACATCTTGTTCCATTTTTGCTACTTCTGCTGCTTTTTCTGACACTTTTTTCGCATATTCCTCTGTACTTAGTTCTTTCAGTTGTTCTTCTTTCTTCTTTTCTCTACGTTTAACTCATTGAGTTTCTTTGTGTGTCTGTCATATTCTAGTTTCTTTTCGTTTTCACTTATTTGCTTCTGTATGTCTATGTTTGACTTTTTGACATCTGTTATTTGATTTTTGAGTGAACTCAAATTCATTTGACTTTGAGGGTATAAGCTGTTCCGTCTGCAGCTCCACCATAGCCTGCCATTTTCGCTAAAAGTGCCGCTCTTAAACCTCCACTCTGTGCACCAATAACTCGGTTTAAAAGCATAGGGTTGCTTGACATTTGTTGCAACATAGTGGGGTCATTCATCATTTGTTGTTGCAACTGTTGTTGTGGTGTTAGTTTTACTATTGGATGTTTCAATGCTCCCTTCCTCTTACGTATATTCTTACGTAGCTTACGTGGCATTTTAAGTGAAGTTAAAAAGCGGTTTTTGACAGATGTTTATATGACACTTTTTGTTCAGCTCAAAAAACTACTCGTCAAAGTGTTGTCAGTTTGGTCATTTACACTCATTACGAAGAAGTCTTGACAAAACATTTTACGAAGAAGTCTTGACAAAACATTTACGAAGAAATCTTGACAAAACATTTACGAAGAAGTCTTGACAAAACATTTACGAAGAAATCTTGACAAAACATTTACGAAGAAGTCTTGACAAAACATTTACGAAGAAGAAGTCTTGACAAAACATTTACGAAGAAGAAGTCTTGACAAAACATTTACGATGAAATCATGACAAAACATGAAAACATATATAATTTGTGAAAAGCTCCTGGAAGACCCGTATATATAAGAACTTCATTTATGTGGGCTAGAGGGCGCAACGCGCCTGGAAGCTCACCCCAAGAAAAAAAAAACTTCATTATATCAATCATCCTCAGGGCTAGAAGGCACGAAGTGCCTGGAAGCCCCACTACCTTTTTTTTTTTTTTTTTTTTTTTTTTTTCATTTCTAATGCATCCTTTCTCGTAAACATATAAAACTCATTAAAAATTACTCAGGATTTTTGAACAAACAAAGTTTTATTTATCTACCAGACATTTCAGCAAGAAGTTGCTTTGCGACAGAGAATCGCTTCTTCTCTTCTGCGTGTGATACTCCATTAGCCAGCTCGGTCAATCCAATCAACCTACCTGATTCTTTAATAGAGTGCACTAACATCAACTTTTTAGTTGACCAGAAGATAACAATTTTAGTTCTGTCGTTGAAGTTGACTTGGATATCGCGATCTTCCATTCTAAAGAGTGTGGCTTCATCATTACGAATCCAGTACTTAACATGCCTAAGTGGAATGGCTGAGTTATACTTGCTACTTGGCAATTCGAACATGGATTTCGTCTTCTTTAAGCTTTCAGCGAACTTCCTCAAAATAGATAGCTTCTTTGGCTGTGCTGTATCGAATGGTTTCATTAATTCAGGTGTCTGTGTTTGATAGTTTGGCCAATATTGAACAAACTCTTCAAATGGATCCATGACCATACGACTTAAATCATTGAAGCAAGCTCCAACAGTTCCATCAATCAACAAGTAACCGAGGCCATACTTTTCACTGTGATCGCAGAATCTTGCAACACAGTACTTTGGCATTGTTGTTTCTGGTGTTGTTGATGCTGGAGCATTTCTTGAAATGATTTGATTGATATCCATGTTTTCTTCGCGGTGATGGGAATGCTTGACTTCTGGAACAGGAGGATTGTAAACAACTTCTGGAGCTTTCTCTGGAAGTGGTTCTGGAATTGGCTGAACACCAATTGATGTAATGAATTGGTGAACTAAGAGTTCTTGAGCGTTTGGACGAAGCTCTGGCTTGATTTGCAATGTGGACTGGATAAAATCTTTGGCAATGTGAGAAAGCCTTGGCTCAACTGGGAAATGGTATGAGCATGTTTTGATATGCTCATATGTGAGTTTAGTTCTTGCTGTTTCGAAAGGTGGACGACCAACAAGCATGGCATATGCGCAAACTCCAATAGCCCAAATATCTACTTCATAACTGTGTCCTTTGGAAGCAGAGGTAAGAATTTCTGGGCTGAGATAGTTTGGTGTACCACACACTGTGAACTTTCTCTCATCATCGTAATCAAGCTTGGCGCTCAAGCCGAAATCTGCAATTTTGATGCGACCATCCTTTCCAACAAGGAAGTTTTCGAGCTTGAGATCGCGATGGATTACACGGTTATCGTGCAAGTATGCGAGACCTTCAAGAACATCTTTCATGATCTTTGATGATTCGAGTTCAGAGAGATGACCTGCCTTCTTAACAAGATCTCTGACTGAATGTCCTGGGCAGAGTTCAGTAACTATGTAATGATTTGTTGCATCCTCGAATGCAGCATAGCTTCTTAAAATGTTTGGATGATTTAATGAAGCTTGGATAGCAATTTCACTCTTCATTTTTTCGATTGCCTTTGGTTTTGAAATTCTTTCTTTTGGTACAACTTTCATTGCATATTCTTTTCCGGACGATTGTTCTACAACTCTGTAGACTGTGGCAAAGCCACCACGACCAAGTTCTTCCTGTCTTTTGTAAATGTAAGTGTGTCCGTGGTCCACATTAATGATAGTAAACGGGACTGAGATAGGTTTTTGCATCTGAGAATTTTTAAACGTATACATTCCGTTTTCTTTCTAAATTGTTAACGATGGTTTACATTTTATTCGGAATTTATTACATACTACTATAGGTAAAAATAAATCTCTTATTTTGAATCAAGATTGAATGAGAAATGAGATGTGTACGTTTGAAATTGTTAGAATTTTAGTGTAAAGAATGTATTCTTTTGCTGAATTCCAATATAAAAACAAGCCATCTTATATCAGTATTAACTCCCCATCCCATGGGAAACATGTTAAACCACCAGTTCCAAAGTTAGCTTTTGAAAATCTTAAATGTGATGAGAATCAACCAGTAAATTCTGCAAGAGTTTATGGTCCAAAGGCTCCAGCAGGTCCAAATCCAAGATTTTCGCATGCTCCTCGCACAGCGAGAAAGCCCGCCATGTCACCAATCATCCCAAACGCACCAATTTCACCTGAAGAAGCAAAATCCAAGTATGCTTCAATGCTTACTTCCTATGAGATGAATGAAATCAAAGACTTCCCTGAGATTTATTATCTCGGAATTCCTTCGAAGAAAGTTCAAGTCAAATCAACACCAGGCTCGAATAACTACGGTTTTGATGATTCTAATTATCATTACAAGGCAATTGTAGGTGATCATTTAGCATATCGCTTTGAAATCCGTGCTATTTTCGGAAAAGGTGCATTTGGACAAGTTCTTCGCTGCTACGATCATAAGACAAAGCAACAAGTTGCAATCAAGCTTGTTATTAATACTGAACAAATGCATGAACAAGGTAAAATCGAAGTTATGATTGTTCAGCATTTGAATAAGTACAATCCAGATAAGAACAGTGATATTGTACGAACATTTGATGCATTCATTTGGAGACAACACATTGCTGTTTCATTCGAGATTCTTGGAATGAATCTTTACGAATACAGTCGCTCAATTCGTTTCCAGCCGATGTCTTTGCAACAAATCCACTCAATTGCAAAGCATATGCTCAACGGTCTTGCTTTCTGCCATAAGCACAACGTTGTTCATTGTGATATGAAGCCTGAAAACGTTTTACTTCTTCCAAACTCCACAATGAAATGTAGAGTCATCGATTTTGGATCATCATGTTTTGATGGACATCAAAAATATGAATACATCCAAAGTCGTTACTATCGCGCTCCAGAAGTTATTCTTGGAATCAAATACGGACCTCCTATGGACATCTGGTCTTTTGCTTGCATTGTTGTTGAAATGATGATTGGAAGACCACTATTCCCAGGTGATAATGAACATGAACAGCTTGAAATGATCATGGAAGTTTTCGGAGTTCCTCCAGTCTCTGTCATCAATCAATGCAAGAGGAAAGCAGAATTTTTCACTCCAGACAACAAGCCATTATTAAGAAACAGAAGGAAGAAACTCAGAATGCCAGGCCAATCAAACTTGAGAGCTGCCACAAAGTTCTCAGACCCTGTTTTCCTTGATTTCTTGCAGAAATGTTTTGAATGGGATCAGGATAAGAGAATCACAGCTGAGCAAGCATTGAACCATCAATGGTTCAGTGTTGTAAAAACAGTCAAGGCCAATACAAGGTCGAACTCAGCTAGACCAAATTCTGGAAAATCTCTTCCAGGTATTAATACTAGAAACAGATATTATTAGATTATTTGTGTTTTGTAAAATATTTGTCGATTGTTTTTAATGAATTTTCTCTCATATTTCAAATTTTGATTTTATTTTTCAAGTTTTAGATGATATCTAGCATATAGTTTAATACAGTATGATGGAATTATATAAAGAGTTTAGTATCAAAAACTATTTTTATTCTATATTACAAGTTAGTGCTTACAGCAGCCTTCTGATTCATTCTTTGTACGTATCTTACGAACTTCTGGACGTCTTCTAGCAGATTCCTCGTCTAAAGCAGTACCAACAGTATTGAATACGGCGGCAATGTTATTTCCATTTAACGATGATGTAAAGAAGACCTTAATGCCTTTTTCTTTCATTGACTCTTCTAAATTTTGCGTATTATATGATTGTTGGCAATCTGATTTGTTAATACAAACTAATAAGATAGGTGCTGGCCTAATACTTGGAAATTCTTGCTCAATCCAACGTTCTACATACTGAGCAGATGTCGGTTTGATAACATCACATACAAGAATGACACAATCTACATTTCGAAGGTAAAGAGGCATCATTGATTGATATTTTTCTTGACCAGCGGTATCCCAGATGTTCAATGTAACTGTGTGATCGCCTACGATCTCGTGTGCACTCATAAAAGCCGCAGCAATTGTCGGTTTGTAGTTTGAAACGAATGCTCCCGTAATATATCTGTTAAGAATTGCTGTTTTACCTACACCTTCTTCGCCAATGATGCAGACTTTGAAATTTGTTGGATCTCCTTCCGCAATATTGGCATTCATTTCCTAAAAATGTAAATTTTTCAAGATCTTGGCACTTTTTTCATATCCGAGGTTCAAAAAAATTCTTGTGATCCCCATGATCCCTAGAAACATTAAACTCATTAATTTGTACATTTGAATGAATTATTTATGAGCGTTGGATCCTCAAAGCGGATAACAAATTTAATTCAAAATTGTATTCAACATGAATTAAGGCAAACCAAAATGCTAAAAATGATTAAAAACACCTTGTATGACGTACCAATCATCCCCATTAAGTTTATCTCCAGTACATTTGAATTTTATATTTTAAATTTCTACAAAAACACTTGAAGATTTCATAGACAATTTTTATGATTGCATTATATATAGTTTATTAGTTTTCAAAACAAAAATCTTTTATTATATTTTTATATAAAAACATTTCATGGATCATATTGTCTAACAAGTTCGTCATTAGTAATATTAGTGAAAGGAGACTTCGGACAGAAGTAATCCCATTTGGATGCAGGAGTTCCGCAAATATCTTCCATATTTGCTTTGCAAGAACCTCTGTCGTAGTCTTCTGTTACAGTATTCCAGTCTTCCCAGTTTGTACGGTTATGACAGGCTAATGATAAGGAAGATATTGAAAATGAAAAAGTAAGAAGAGTAAATGACAACGCGAGGATTCCATAGATAGCTACAATGACTAATGGTGTAATTTCGAGGGAGTTGAAGTATTTAACAAAGTATCTTATGCAATATGCAGAAAATAGGCCTAAATATGGTGTTCCGTAAAAGTTAAATAACATAAACATTTTGTAGTTTCGCTTTCCAATCCAAACAGTTGTCCATCCACAAAGATGATCTGCTCGGATTACGTATCTTCGTGCAGAGTGAGTAAGAGTAGATCGTGATGGTTTCGGAAGGTTGTGTGCCCATTCATATTGCTTTTCGGATGTGATAATTCCATCTGGTGGGCAAACATAGCCAGAAATCATAAAATCTTGTTGATTTTCTGGTAAAGTCGAAGTTTGCATGCCCATATGATAGAAAGGTAGATAACCTGGTCCAACATAAATGACTTCAATGTATGAGTAAATGAACATTATCATTAAAAAGATCTGAATTGGAACAATTATTATCCATTCATAACGAAAATATGGTAAAATCACGCCAACAAGTACAATAAATGAAGATATTATTAATAATAGAACAAATATAGGCATTGCCGGTTGAAATTCCCATTCTCCCCAAAAATATGTTTTTATATCTGGATAATAGGTCATCATACAGCAACAATGCTTCTTTTTCTGAAACGTGGAATAGCTCGGAAAAGTCGTTTCCTCATTTAATACGAGTGGCTCAGAATCAGAAGGATTTTGCATATCGAAAGAAAGGTGACATCAGATAATTGTATAAAAAAACTATTCAGGGGGACTCGAACCTATTACCTTTAAAGTTGAAAGGTTAAAAAGTTGAAACAATAATAATAAAATCGTACTTTTGCTAATAGTAGATCTATGCTCAGATTTTTTTTAGACTTATCGTCGCCAATGCACTCGGAATCTGCCAAAGTTCAAATTTATAATGTAGAATCTGATTAATATTCATAATGGGTTGAGTTTCTCTCAAATCTATCAATAATTTTTGAAATGTTCGGATTAACTTCCTAATGAACCATTTGTATCTTATAGTTTAGTAGATAAATCCAAATACAGTACTGCAGTTGGCGTAAGTAGCAACAAAAAGACATATACATTTGATTATCCATGCCCACGAAATTATGAATGCACTGATTATGTTATTGAATTTCGACCTGGCATATATAAATTTGAGCTTTATGGAGCTTCTGGAGGCACCTATTCAGGAAAGATATCTGCTCACGTTAATAATGACAAAAGTTGCATCGAACAAGCCTATATTGATATAGCGAATGGAAACGCAAGATGTAACCCAGTCGGAAGCAGAGGTGGTGCTGGAGGCTATATTTCAGGCATCATTAAACTGGCTCACCGTATCACTGCTTTTGCGACGATAGGAGGTAAAGGTATATATGACACCACCTCAACAATTTCTTCTTTTGACGAAGATAAGATGATAAAAGGAGGATATGGAGGTGGAGGAAATGCATTTAACTACTATTATGATTCTCTTGATAATGGATGCGGGAGCGGTGGTGGTCAAACCGCTGTCAAATTCCTGGCAAACGATCTTTGGCATCGTGTAATTGTGGCAGGTGCTGGAGGTGGTTCTGATAATGCATATACAGATCCAAACGGCGAAGATGATGGATCAGGAGGTTCAGGCGGTGGCTTTACCGCCCAAAGCTATTGGAAAGATGGTATTGTGGACACTACAAGAAGCGCTACTTCCACTTTTGGTTTCACTTTTGGATCAGGTGAATCAGCTCGAAAAGAAGGCTCTTTACATCCTTCAGGTCAGAAAATTGTTACCTATGAAACTGATAGATCAGGGGCTGGCAGTGGATGGTTCGGCGGATTCGCAGGCCACAATGGAAACTCTGGTTCCGGAGGAGGAAGCTCATGGATACTCTCTGCTGATGCAATTTTTCCAACAGGAAATATATCTGCACAAGGAAGTTTTTTCAACGAAACTGAATCTAATCCATACTACTTTAAATTGAGCGATGGTTATGTTTTTAGTGATGTCAAAACCTATCCAGGAATCTGGGTAGGCAATGGTAGACTTGTTATAACTATTCTTGACAGTCTGGATTGTCAATCATGCCTTTTTGTTAGCCGTCTTCAGCTAACATATGAACTTTTGTTTATTTTGATTTTGAAATCCAAATGAGATTAAACAGTTTCTAGGAATTAAGCAATGAAAATATGAAGAAACACTTTTCACACTAAAAATATTCATCTTATTGCTTTCTCTTCTGAGATATTGATTTTGACTTAAAAAAACGCTTCCCCGGGGACTCGAACCCCAAACCCTTGGATTAAAAGTCCAAAACTCGAACCAATTGCGCTTGGAAAGCTTCACGATTTTTTTGGTAATAAAGAATTTATAATAGTGAAAATGCACTTTTCCTACATAACATCGAAGTCAACTAAAACACAAATTTATAATACACTATAATACTAATCCATAAAATATAAGTTTCTCCAAGAGCGATCACTTTTTACCTTTAATGTTTTAATCTAATTTCTAATTCCTCATTTTATCTTATAGCTTATTAAATGAATCTAAATACAAGTCGAAAGTAAAGGTAAATAATCACTCAAAGACATATACATTCGACTATCCATGCCCTCTAAGCTCGATCTTTCAGGTTTGAATACTGTTAGTTGAATCATTACAAAAATTGATAAAAAATTTGATAAATTGGAAATAAAAAGAATTTGTTTTAACACAAATAAATAAGACATCAGTTCCAGATTCATTGATGTTCTTCATTTTCACTTGGAAGATCTAGATGTTCTCGTGAAAAAAATTAACAAAAAACGCTATCCTGGGGACTCGAACCCCAAACCCTTGGATTAAAAGTCCAAAGCTCTATCCTGTTGAGCTAGGAAAGCTTAACAATTGCTTTGAGAAAATAAATTACAAAATAAAATCTTGATAACAAGATTGTAATCTCCCCTTCAATCATATGCCATAACCAAAATTTGTAAATAGCTTTTCTATTTCAAAAGCATAACTCTGCTGTTTACAATATATAAAACGATTCCTCTTTCTTTTATAACTAATTACTTTCACATTTTCCATTAAAATCATTACATTCATATTCAGTTTATTCATTAATTATTAAGTTATCAAAAAACAAAGATTATTTTTTATAAATCGCAATAAACAAACATAATTTTTACAATTTAGTTTCTAGAATAGCTCTTTCTTGGTTTCATTGATCTTCTATGTACGAAAGCCTCGAAAATAGTGAAAGTATTAAACTGCATTGGCACATCCAAAACAGGTCTATGGCTTAGCAATGTTCTGATGAGTCCTTCCATCTTTACTTCAGGTGATATAATGATTTTCTTCAATTCTGTGTACTGCGGAGTCTGAGTTGCGTTTAATGCTCTGAATAAATTGTCAGAACACATTAAATGATCATTTGTAAGGGTTGCCATGATCATCTTGACCACGTAGTATATGCATGCATCAGAAGGATGATAAGCAACATCGGAAAGAACTGAAATTAAATTCTGATTTTTCAGAACATTGTTTCTAAATGGTTTAGAAGTGGAAACCAGGAAGGAAGTAATGCGCCATGATATCTTTGATACATTAAGATCGCTATCGGAGCAACATTTGAACAGGAAACTGTAAAATTCTTCTGGAAGATTCGAAATGAACAAAGAAGTTACCGAATTATGGCAAAAACTAACGATCGGCTTCATCACAAACATTTTCTTCTCGGTCGTGTTCGCGTATTTCGATGCTTGGTACAAGAATTTTGAAGATTCCGTCAAAATTGTGTTGGAAGTCTTCTCATTTAGGGTTCCAAGCCTCAGGAAATGCAATGCGAACAAACAAATAGACTGTGTGGCCTCAAAAACAATTGGTTCCGTTGCATCTGACAAAATTGTTTCAATTTTGACCAAAAAGAAGGGATTAAATTCAACAGATTCTTCTTTCGCGTATTTGGGATGTATCGCGAATATCAATGATATGAATTTGAAGATGATATACTAGTCAATTGCGAAATCTTCCGGATAATGCTGGGAAAACATCTCAAAAAGCAGCGGCAACATGGTAACTGCTGCTGATTTAGTGATAAACAATTGTTCACAGAACCTAATGGTCTTTTTCGCATCAATTTGGTAGATATTCTTCAGAAAAGTGAAAAATGGAAATTCTGGATTGACAAGGAACTGTTCTAGGAACAGTGCAGCTGATATAATGATCAAGAAGTATGTTAAACTGATGTAATCAAGTGAATTCTCGTTCAAATTCTCTTTTACGGCGGATAATAAATCAGATGTAAAAGTTTTCAAGATTTCGTTGGATTGGAATGACAAACCATTGATTCTATCACTAAATAAGTGATATGCATTAGGAAATTCTTCCTTTTTCCGTTCGAAACGCTTGAAAATTATTAAAGTGTAGTAGAGCTCCAAAAACGAGGAATTGGCATGATTGAACACTATAATGTTATTCGAGGATCCATTTAGTTTGGGAGCTGGAGCTAAAATTGAAACATTATTTGGCGAAAATTCTGAAATTAAGATAGCAAAGGCGTAGAACAAATATATATCATTCTGGAACAACTTATTAATATCTGTATGCTGTCTGTTAAGTAGTTCTTCCATTAAACTAAGCACAGACAATCTATGATATTTTGACGTTTTGTAATAGAGAGTCATCCTTAGCGCCTCTTCGTATTTTAATGGGTCGATCATGGTGGGATTATATTTGGATAGAGTAAGAAGAGAATAAAGGTGTTTCTGGGAATTTAATTCAATTCTTGAATCAAGAGAATCCAAACGAAGATCGTTGAATTTTTCCATTGATTTGGAAGGTTTAAGTATTGGTTTCGTGTTGTAAGTACGTAATTCGTAAATTATTGCTTCTAATGCTGGATATAACTCTGAATCAATGGTTAATTTGGTTAATCTTGGGTCTATTGGAGATTTCACTTCTTGGTATGAATGATTGTATGCATGGATTCGTTGTTCATCGACTGTTTTCATTAATTTCAACGTTGTACCGAGAGATTTCGGACCTGGAACGTTTTCAATGAAAGGAGCTGTTAATTCCATCCATTTTTCCATCGACTGTTTGTATTCTTCGTAAGTATGTTAAAATTGAGGTTTCGGTCGAATTGGAACGAGAGTGGATGAGAAATATTTACCATCTCCGACGTGTTCTTGAATAGGAATCACTTGGCCTCTTGGTCCTGTCTCTGGGAAGTCTCCTGCTTCAACTGTACCAGATAAAATCATATCTTGCATTTTCAGATGGTTTATTGGATATAATGGAGTTGTATGCACATTGAATTGCCTGGATGCTATTTTGTCATCATGAGATCCGCGTATTTTCTCGTTGGCAGTTGGTACGTGTGGTGGTTTAGGTATATGGAATACAAATGATATAGGAACTGGTAGCACAGAATTCATAAATTGATGTTTTAGAATTGCGGACCAAGTTTCCCAGTCCCTTCTGTAATCTTCGTAGGATTGATAACTTTCTACTGAAGGAACTTTGTTGAAATGCATTACACGCTCTATCCTATTGGCGTTTTCAAAATCTACCAAGTAGGATTCCTTGCTGGGCGCGAAAATAGCTAATTTATCAAAACTTTCCATTGATTTGCTACTCTGAATTCAAATTTGACATTCTTTCAATTTCCGAACTGAATGCATAACGTAGAAATATAAATGCAAGTTCAATTTTTAAGTTTGGTGATAAAACGATAGCTCAAAAGGTGACAATATGATCAAGGTGAAATCCAGTTTATTTCAGAGAAATCTTATTAAGTAGCATGTGCAAATGATATTTTGTTTTTCATTCAATAAGAGTTCAACAAAAAACGACACTTTTTACTTTTTTCCTATAATAGATAATCGCTTCAAATCTGCTCGTTATGCCAGAAATGAAAGAAATTGATTAGCATAGCCAAATTTATTACTCAAATAAGTAACTATTTTGCGTAATCCATATAGTTGTATCTTTAATTATTTTAACCAACAATTCAATTTGGAATCAATTTCGTTAATTTTGATTATATTGCAGCAGTACTCATATGTTAACATAAGATCAAGATTGCGCCTGCCAAAAACCCAAATGATAAATTGAAATTATGCTTCTCGATGAAATTACAGAACTATTCAATTTTTTACAACATAAAATTTTATTTATTTATTGTAAACTTTTGAAAATTAAATGAATTAAGGTTCTTGTAATCTTTTGAAAATCATATTTGTTTGAAGAAGAAAAAGAAGAAAATCTCAGGAGGAAAGGAAGAGAACCATGCTTCCATTTTCCAGGACCTTCAAACGACATATGGGATAGATTCTATAAACCTGCAAATATTTCAATAGATGTTAATACAGTTATTGAAAAAGTGACAGGTGGCAAATCTGTCCCGCACTCAAGCTCATTCATATCTCTCCAAAAGATATTTGATATTTGGTTGGAACATCAATTGCTCTCCAAACGTCAAACCTGCTTTAAAAAATAATTCCAAATAATTTTTTTTTATTTCAATTACTACTAATGTTCGACTTATAAATTTTGAAAGAATAACCGAGATATCTCGAAAACGTTACAACTTCTTTCTCAGTCAAGTCCTCTGCACTCTTAAATTTTTCCAAAGAAGACTTCAAAGTATTAAAGAAGAATGGATGTTGACGACAGAAATTGAAGAAACGACCAAAAATATTATTCAATTTTGACAATTTACCATCATTCTTTTTGAATTTCCTAAAACTAATGATCCATGATTTAAACATTGATTCGAGCATACGATCTTCATCCTCGCCATTTGGTATTTTGTAATTTTGCTCAAACAATTCAAAATAATTTTCAAGCCAAGAAATAGAAAGATCGAAATATAGAGTATTATAATGTATCGTTGAATTTCTATATACTAAGTTACTATCTGTATATTCAAAATGAAGACCAAAATCTTGATTCACAATTTGTGGATATTTCCTAAAAATTAACAGTATTGCAGAGCACAAATCTCCTTGTACTACCTCAAAATACCCATTAACACGTAAAGCATAAAGTTCTTCAATTAAATCATCTATTAATTCTTCATTAAAATTAATGAATTTGATCATTCGGCATAAAGAGTTGAAAAACAAATCATTAAGTGCGGATTTCCAATCAACTAATGATATATCATCATAGTCATCTACGTTATTAAGTTCTTCTTCTGTTTCAATTAAATAATTGAAATAATTGAATAGAATTTGGCGGTTTTCCTCGTAAACATTTCCATCTTCGAAAAATGATAAATAATAGGCAAGAAGCGAAGCATTCAACGGAGATATAAAGTCAACTTCAATGTTCTGCATAATTAAAGGGTAAATTTCATTGGTAAATGGTTCTATCATTAATTCTGGACAAATCTTTCGTAATTTCCATGATAAAGATAAACAAAAATCGACATAACGCTCCAGCTCACAATTTACAGTTGCATCCCATTGAGAAAATTTATCATCTACGCTTTTTTCGCTCTTTTGAATTTCGGAAGCATTATTATACATTTGCAGAAAGATTTTGATCAAAAAGTTAATCGAAGACTGCTTAACTTGGTCATTTTCTTGTATGTAACTTGAACAATCCCCAAAGAAAGAGTCAAATAGTGATAAATATACGTTTTCGCCAAAAAGATTAATATTTGTGAGCTTAATGTATTGTTCCATTAATATACTTACGATTGGCTGCCGTAACTCCTCATTTTCGAGGTTCTGGAATAAGAAAAATAAAATTTGGAAACAATGGTAATGAATTGACTTGATAATTATATCCGAATTGAGGTAATTAAGGCATAAATTGACTACCTCATTATACATTTCTATATTATTTTCCACAGTTTCATAAAAAACCTTTTTCTTTGAAATTTCAAACAGAATCCTCATATTATCATCTATCATTTCCACCATAGTCTTGTCAATTGTGTACTTAATACTACTTGTGAACGAATCTGCCACATAATAAGCTGTCAAATCAAAAACATTTAGTTGTGTTTCTTCATTGTATTGTAGTGGCTGTGAAAGAATTGAATAACAACCTTTGTAAAGATCAAATATACGGTCACCGAGCTGATCCTGAGCAAGCTGAAGAAAATTAAATATTGCGGCCAAACAATATGAAAGATATTTAGGTGGAAGGTCATCCTTCTGAAGCATATTGTTACACTCATTATAATACATTACCGCTTGTTCGCTAATGAACTGTTCATTTTCTTTATTTTTGTATGAACCAAAAATTTCTTGGATTTGAGAGATAATTGTTACTTTAATAAAATCACTTTCTTTATATTCATTGAAGAGCTCTGCATATTTTTCACAAACATCTTCAATTGGATCTTGAGTTATTTTTATATTTTTTGTAAGAATTTTAATCAATTTCGCAACACATTTTTCATTAGGAAGATTTTCAGAGACTGACAACATCTTTTCCTTACAAAGAGTATTAAATTCTAAAGAATTTTCATTGCTTCGTGTATTGAAAGAGAATTGCTCAAAAAAGGAAAGGATCCAATATATACAATGTTCATCTTCACCTTGGAAATCAAGATTAAGGAAATAATTGAAGATTTCAATTTCATCAACTGAAATTCCTGAAAAAATCAACTGACTAATATATCTAATGCATGCATACCTAAGTCCTATATCTTCATTAGTGGTAAGAATGGTATAAATGTCAGAATTTATGTTAAATCTCGCTTTAGGTCCAGATAGTTCACATTTAACGTATGGATGATATAATGAGATCAATATTAATAGTCCATATAATATTCCTGCATCGTTTTGAGCGCTTTGGAAGTATTCTGGGATTTTTTCAATGATTATTACTTCTAATTTTTCTGAAATTTCGGAAGCAACAGTTTCAATGATACTGAAAGCACCATTATCTGTATCATTATCAAGTTTGTCGTAGCTGACATCTCTAATAAGACTGATAAAAAGCTGAAAAACTAAATCAACAAATTCTGGTGAATTTACAACAAATTTTGTGTTTTTAAGAGTAATTGCTGATATAATAAATACACAATTTGCTTGAATTTGATCGATTTTGTTGTTAATTGCAAGATTACAGATATATCTCGCTAAATCAAGATAAATGTAACCAATAAATGGAGATCCAAGTTCACAAAAAGCATTCATAGCATCAAGTGAAGTGTATACATTATCAATTGTTATTTTTTCAAGAATATTTGGGAAAATTTCGACAAATTTTTCGTTTTCTTCTAATTTTCCGATAATTGAAAAGTAATATCGAATAATACCATCATATTCTCTGTTTTGATCAATAATTTGATAGAGAAAATCGATATCAAAGTTATAAAGATCTGGAGAGTTTTCAATCGCCTCAGATATGATAGAAAGTGAAAACTGCTGTTGTATTATTGTTTGTAGTTCAATTAAAACTCCATTAAAATCAAAATCTGCTTCAGGTAATTTATGAATGTTTGAAAGCGTTAATGCATATGTACTGCATATAATATTTAGAGAGTGGCTTCGATTAAGAAGAGTTTGAATGCATGAATGCAAATTTCCAAAGAAAATTTTGAGTGATTCGTGCTCCAAATAGCTCTGAGCGCGCTTAATAACAGAGAATATTAACGTAATCATATAGTCATTGAGATTTTCGTAATTATTTGATACAATTATTTGTAAAAGAGAATTGACAAACAATAATGGGTCATTTTGAATAATTTGATCTCTTTCTGACTCTGCATTACTTCTAATCTCATTATCTTCTGATTTACATCGGTCAATCAATGAAATAAACCGAGATTCATCCATAGCAAAATAAAGTATGGCGTGCAGCACCGATATTATAAAATCAAAAATTTCCAAGAAAATACTCATATATTGCATTATCAATCTACATTAATTAAGCATTTTTTATTTTGATTTTGAAAACTGTGAACTCAAATTCAAAACAACGATTTACGACTTTGGTGATGGATATTTAACAAATAGACAATGTACTGAAGATCATAAACTAAATTCATAAATTACACTAAAGAACATTAAATGCTCATAAAAATTTTTAATGTCTGATCAAGATATTCATCCAAGTAAATACAGTGAATTACGAAGTATCTACAAATACCACATCGATTCATATATTGCGTTGTATAGGCTGAAAACTGAAAATAAAGAAGATTTAAACTCAATTTACAAAATGATCAAAACAGAATTGATTGATTCAAAGAAATATCCACCCAAAAATATTATAAGAGATATTTTAAAAATTATTCCGTATAAAAATGGCTATACAAAGTCATATTTATACCTTGCCAAACTCATTTCTAATGAATATCATGTCAAAGAAGTCAATAATGTTGAATTTATTTCAAACTTCCTGTTTTATAAAGAATAAGGAATTAAATTAGACAAGTCTGATGATTTCGAAGAAATTAAATTAGAAGATCTCGCCATTCTTTCAGAAAATACAATTTATAGGGCTATTATGAATAATAACGTAGAATTATTCATTGTACTCATCGAAAGAGATGATTTTGATGAATATCAGGAGCTCAAAAAAAGTAAAAGATTATAAAGGATTCATTTCCTTTCATTATGCAATACATAATAATAATCAAGAAACAGCTGAGCTTCTTATTTCCCACGGTGCAAATATCAATGAAAAAGATAATGATGGAAATACCACTCTTCATTATACAGCAATTAATAATTGTCAAGAAATAGCCAAACTTCTTATTTCAGCTAGTTTAAATATCAATGAAAAAAATAAATATGGAAAGACCGCTCTTCATTTTGCAGCACAAAAAAATAATAAAGAAATGGCTGAATTCCTTATATCACATGGTGCAAATATAAATGAACTAAATAATGAAGGAAAAACAGCTTTTCAATATGCAGCATATTTTAATAGTAAAGATGTAGCTGAATTTCTCATTTCTCTCGGTGCGAATGTCAATGAAAAAAATAAGCATGGATACACAGTTCTTCATTATGCATCAGAAAGAAATAGTAAAGAAACTGTCGATATTCTTCTTTCCCACGGCGCAAATATCAATGAAACAGATAAATATGGATATACAGCTCTTCATTATGCAGCATATTATAATAGTAAAGAAACAGCTGAACTTCTTATTTCGTATGGTATAAATATCAATGAAACAGATAAATATGGAAAGACCGCTCTTCAAATTGCAACAGAAAAAAATAATAAAAGAATAGCTCAACTTCTTATTTTACATGGTGCTGAAAATTAATATTCCTGTATAAGATATTTTTCCTCAAATAATCTCGAAATAAAAACAGATTTTTTTTAAATTGGAACAATAACGCAAGTTAGAAAGCAATCAACATCCCGCTAGATTCTTTGATACTATAAGAATTCTAAGAAAAGATCTTGTTTTCAAAATTGAAGAATGAAGTGTCACTTTTTATGAGTAGGTGCCAAAAGTGCTTACTCTTAAACAACCGTCGGATTTCCGGGTGAAATCGTGACACACTTTCGTCTTTCGTAGGCAGTGGTGGTTGTTACAAAAGGTAACTTCGAATGTAGCGTGAAATCTGCAAAAAAAATTCTGAAATTTGAATGGAGAACACAAAAATTGAATAGTTTACGTCAATAAAAAAGAGAAAAATGAAGCCAATGTGTCTCGAACCTAGGACTTAGAGCAGCAATTCCACTGTTTATCCCATTACACTACATGCATCTCTCACCTAATTGATTGAGATCAACTATATGATAACTTTTGCCCCATTATATTCTTGTGGAAAAGTGACAAATAGCAACTTTGACCCTCTCTCCACTTTTTATACAATATTTTCAAAAAAAAGTGGGACATTTACCCATTTCCACAAGAATCGGCTACCTTACGTTGAAAAAAAATTTAGAGACAAAAAATTTGCTTTCATATTTTTTAGAAAGATATTTTTTAAGTGATTAATGATTAAATAAATATTGAAAACCTGAAAATAATGATTTTTACTGATTTTATATGATTTGATTTATAATTTGTCACTTTTTTATTATAGAACACAAATGTCTAAAAAGGCTTCGAGAAAACTCCTCTACGATGCAGATGATTTTGACGATGATGAAGATGAGGTACCACGCCCAAAGCGCGGCCTACCTGCACGCTCTCAAACAGTCGCAGATTTAAAATCAGCGAGCTCAATGTATAATTACCAGAATAATAACGACGATTACTCCGATGTTTACGATGAACCATATGGATATGATGGAGAAGAAGATTTTAATGATTATGATGATGACAGTGCTAAGATTGACGAACTTATTGCAAAACTCAAGAAAACATATGATATTTCTAAATGCGATATGGATGAAATCTTTCTCGCATTCAGAAATCTCGACTACGATTACAGTGTAGTTTCCAGAAACCTCGAAAAAGGCGATTATGGCAAAGCAATCAAGAAGAAGTCCCAGAAGCACATTCAGATTCCAGCGAGCCAAACCCCATCCAAACTCATACCACCGAAAGGTATTGCCAGCACATTTTCATGCGCATCTATCAAAGATATCGAACAACACCTTACAACTAAAGTTACAAAGGACCAAGTCTACAAACAAATATCCACAGGCAAGAAGCATGTTAATCTTGTCATCGTGGGCCACGTAGATGCCGGCAAATCCACTTTAATAGGTCATGTTTTATTACTTTCGAATTTTGTCGAGAAACAACGCATGGACAAGATCATGGAAGACTCCAAAGCTACAGGACACGGTCAGGACTACTTGGCGTGGATCATGGCTGAAGATGAATCAGAAAGATCTCATGGAGTCACAATCGACGTTGCCCTTAACAATTTCGAGACAGAGGACAGAAAAATTACGGTTTTGGACGCACCAGGACATCGTGACTTCGTTCCAAACATGATTGCTGGTGCTTCCCAAGCTGATTCTGCAATTCTTGTCGTAGATGTCTCCAATCCTAACATAGAACGCGGCCAGGCAGGTGAACATATACTTCTGTGCAGGAGTCTTGGCGTTAAACACCTTATTGTCGCTATAAATAAGATGGATTCATTAGAATACATGCAAAGCGCTTACGAAGACGTCTGCAATACTCTCACCGAGCATCTAAAGAGGATTTCGTGGTCGGCCGTCCACTTTATCCCTACAGTTGCCACAGATAAATCTGTTTTACTTAATCCGAAAGAAAAAATGCCTTGGTACAAAGGTCCGACAATACTTCAAGCAATAAACCAAATTCCACCTTACGAATACGATATAAACGACTCATTCTTGATGTGCATCTCGGAAGCGGTCGAAACATCAAGGAACTCGATCACAGTATCAGGCAGAGTCGAGAGCGGCTACGTGGCCATCGGAGATAACGTCAAAGTTCTTCCTGGAGAACAAATTGTCAGAGTATGCGATGTACAGCTGAACGGAGAGCCTGTTGACTTCGCCGCCGCAGGATATATTGCAGACATTACACTTACGACATCAATGAACGTAGAACAATTCGCAATCGGCTCAGCAATTTTCGATCCAAAGAAAAAGTTACAACTTTCGAACAGATTTACAGCCCACTTGAGGACATTCGACATAAAGAAGCCAATACTACAGGGAACTCCACTGGTTTTCCACAGACACGCTGTAGATTTGCCTCTTAAGATCGAAAGTTTCACAGCTCAGTTGGATCCGAAGACGAAGAAGACAATTAAGAAGGGAATTAAGTTCTGCTTGGCCAGACAGTTCATTGAAGCCACATTTTCAATTGAATCGCCAATTCCAATTGACACAGCTGAATCTTCAAGAAGTTTCGGTACATTCATCGTCAGAACAGGCGGTGAAACAGTTGGCTTCGGAGGAATTATCTCGGTTTTGCAGGCAAAGTAATTTATTTTTAATTTTTTTTCTATTGTTTATTTTATTAGAGTTAAATAAATATATTTCTTATCTTACTACACAGCTGTTGTTTTTATAAACATTTTCAGTACAATGAGGATAAATTTAATATAATTTCACTTTGTAAATGTCTTACGAGTACTTTGAATTCAAAAAATCATTTTAAATATTGTGAAAGAAGAATATAAACTATCCAACAATATAAAACTCTCTCAACAATGTAAATTCTACGGATCAATATGCTTCAAAGGAAGCTAAATACTAGGGTTGTTAAAAATATCAAAAATTAGCGTTTTGAAGACACCATGGTGTCTTATAATTTTCCCTTCCTTATTGGCGTGTAGAAATAAATGCGCCAATAGATTGAAGAAGAAGAATTGTTTTTCTCTTAATGAACTTTAAGCAAAACGGCTGTTTCAGTCATTAATTCTTAAAAATAAAAAGGGTAAAAACTAAATACAATGGGTAAAATTCAATAGTGTCTGTGCTATCGTTCAATTTGAAGGTGTCTTTTGAAACCGCAAGACACATTGAATTTTTGAATAGTGTATTATGGTTTGACAGACACCAATGAAAAAAATAAAATGATATTTATTTTAAATATATAAGATCCTTATATAAAATATAAATATTTTATCATTTTATTTTCTTGTTTTAGAAATGTTTTTTATTGAAAAATCAATAAAACTAACTCCAAAATAAAATTTTTGATTTAAAGACACTATGATGACACCAGGCAAATCTTCCAAGACACCTATCGTCGGGAATCTAACAACCCTACTAAATACTTTATTATTGATATTCAAAATATGTTTAACACTTTTTCAGAGAAGCTGCAAGCCGATAAAAAGTATCAAACCTATTCTATTATGTATTAGACCATATAGTCAGATCTATAAAAGCAATTAACTTCTCTCAAATATTGATATAATTGCATTAATACAAATGATAATAATAGGAAAAATTCATTTTTATCAATATCGTATTTCTTACTGAATGTAATTCAAATTTCTGACAACCGATGCGACGCATCATTGAAAATTAAACTGAAAAAATAGACACGTCATACGGGCACTCTTAAATACTTTATATTTTATCTTCTTTTGTGAAGGAAAACTTTATAAGGTTGAACTTCGAATGTTTTCGAATAAAGCACATTCGTTGCATTGCATAATTCTTCTGATCTATGTTTTAATTTATTGTTTATTTCTTCATTGTAAGTATTTTCTTTTGTAACTCCATCATATGATGTTACATTATTTCTTAGATAACAATTGATAATAATCATCGGATATACACTACCATATAATAAAAAGATGTTTGTGGCTGAGTTATCAATAATGTTACATTCTTCAATAGTAAAAGTATCACAGCGGTCATTATAAAAAATTTGATCTGCGGCAGAGTTATTTATAATATTATTTCTAAACACGCTTACATTCCCTAAGAAAATATAATACATGCAAATTTCATTTTCTGCACTATTATTCACAACTGAATTATACGTAGAATTTACATTCATTCCATTTGATAGCACCATGAACGCAGAAATACTATTTGTCTTAAAATTAGAAATATTCGTTTTTGTAAAATATATTTTTCCCAAATAGAAATATATTGGCATTCTTCCTATTGGGGTTTCAGAGTTTCTTGAAAGGGTACTTTCAATCATGTATAATTTATCAAGAGGCATTATTGACGTGCTTGTACAGGCACAATATTGACCACTTTTTGGTGTAGAACAATTGAACGAACAAATTCGATTATGAACAACTTCGCAATTATGAGTTTGAACTGCACCACCATCTCCTGTGTGATTTAATACTCTAATAAAACTGCTGTCTTCAAATAAAAATCTATAATCTCCATCACAATAAATCGCAGGTCCCTCGATATCAACGAATAAACAGTTTTTAACACAGTTATTTATGGAATTGTTACTAGTGCCAAAACAACTACATGCTCCTTCGAAAAAATCATTGAATTCTTGATGAATGAGAGTCGTAAATATTTTTCCAGCCAGAAAAATTGTCAAATATTGTCAAATACCCGATCCGAAATCTTCCAATTTCAATTGGATAGTGCTGTTAATGATTTGCAATCCGAAATTTTAAGATTTTAAAATAGCTGTATCAAGTACTCATTAATAGCGGATAAGAAATAATCAACATTAAATCATAAAATATATGTACAAATCATTAGATTATATTAGACATAGCATAAATTTTCATTTCTATCATTCAGATCTATAAAATTCTATTCATCATAAGATATTTGTTGTGATTTTATCTTATTTTTATGAAATTGATTGACAACTATAAAATGTTTAGTAAAATATTTAAAATAAAGCAAATTTTAGTAATATTTAGATGATTGAAACAAATTCATTTTCGGATCCTGCAACTGCAAGAACATAATGCATAAGCATGAAGGAAAGTTCATCTGGATCATCTTGCATCTCGAGTCTCATGATCTTCATGAACTGATCTCTTGGAATTACTGCACGCATTGTCTGGTTCAAATCAATTGACTTTGCGAACTTGAATCCAGCATTTGTGCATCTGTCCTTATGCGATTGTACTGTTGGATAAGCTCTGATTCCTTTAAGTGGCGCGTTGAACGAATCAAAGTTCTTGATCATCATTTTACCGAAAGCATCATCAGGTTTGACCATACCGTAGCTAATAAAAGCATTAGACTTTAGTGAAGCAGCAAATTTGAGGATTTCGTCAACAGCATTTGGATCTACGTAAATTAATGTGCATTCATCGATGAAAATTGTTGGTAAGTCTTCAAATCCGTGTGCAGTGAGCTCCTTCTTAACTTCTTCTGGTTTCGAAAGATCTGCAACGAAAAGATAGTAATTATCGAGTGGATGGAAAGCTTCTGACTTAAGAACGGAAGATTTCTTATTAACAATATGAGGCATATCTAAATCAAACCAATTTTTAACTGTAATGTGTTCATCTCTAAGGCGCCAGAATAAAGTATCGTAACCACATCCTAAAACAACAACTTGCATATCCTTTCCATGCAATTCGTAGAATTTCTTAACTGCAACATATATTGCTTGAGTTCTAACATAGTATCCAAGATTCATTGGTGGTAATTGCTTTTGTTCATGAGTAACAAAGCAAGCAATGAACCTATCCTTATAGTATCCGCGCTGAACAGCACTAAGCTTGGCATTAGCGGCATCCATTGCTGTATCTTCGACAGATCCAAGCTCTCGAAACGCGCTCATTTTACACTGAAAATTTACGATCACTTTTAAGTGTTCATTTCAATTAATACGTGCATTAAATACACAATATCATATAACTAAGAAATATCAAATAAATTTGCCTTTACATGCAATATCATAAATTTTTAAAAATTAAAATTCATTAAAATACTATTCACTCATCTGATTTAATTAGCACATGTACCAATACTAAAAAATGCAAACTTTCAACTGCGTTTTTTTAATATTTTCTGATAATTTTTTCCACATCTGACAAAGATATCGTTTCAATTCAATTTCGAAGCCGAATTTGACAGATTTTTCACAGAAAATTCTGTTCAAAATTTAGCCATCAAAAGATATAGCAATTACATTATTGAAGTTAATTAGAATAAATTCGGTTTTGTGTCAAAGACATCTTTGATCCGATTTGACATGCAACAATGAGCAAAAATGTTTCACTTCATTTCATCAGATGTCGAGAACAACAAACTATCAATTTCACAAGATTGGGGAGGATAGTAAAAATGATATTGCCTTCATAATGAAACAGTCATTCCCTGAATGCGAGGATCCATATTCCTTTTATCATCCCAAAGGGTATATTGCTTATGCAAATGATGTTCCTGTTGGAGTTGCATCATTTCATACTTATAAAGCTGGTTATCATAGTTGTATTCCCACATTTTCTTTCGAAATCTGTGTAATTCCAAAGTACAGACACCATGGTATTGGCAAACAACTTTATCAATATATTGCTAATGAAATTAAAGATGAAGAACAAATAATTACAACAATTCAAGCCGGTAATTCATTAACATTTAGTTTCTTCGAAAGACGAGGATTCACCAAAGCAGAAATGTCCCGCTCTCAAAAACCTGGAGTAGGAAATACTTGGTTATTATACAAACCCGGTAAATCACCAAGACACATGTATTACTACTCAGGAGAAGATGAATGCTGGAGATAGTGAGTATTAAATAGCCGTTAAACTTTTATCAAATTTCTCGATTAAATAATTTTCTTTAAATTTTTATTTCTATACTCGATTACCTTTTATTGCACTAGTATATTACATGATATTACTGATTGCACTTAGATCTTCACTTCTCATGATAATTAGGAAATTACCTGCATATTTTAAGGATATATTCTTCTTAATATCAAAATTGTGTGCAATTGAGTTGCTTTTCACAGATTTTTCTCATTACATTGATAGTTTTTCTCCAAAAAAACTCTCAAAATGAGTTTGTATTCCGGAGACGCGAACTTTTTACTAGAAGTCGCAAATAAATATCCGGAAGCAGCTTCATTTTTTAATAGGTTTTCCAAAAAGGACTTATTTTCGCTAAATTGGAAGCAAACGAAGGAGATATTAGATCAATTAAAACCAATTCCTGATGCTTTAGTTACAATTATACCAGAATTAGGAATGACAATTCTTGCAAAATATATTGCAATTACGTTTTGTTCATTCTTTCCCGAAGAATTGTTTCAAATTTACTTATTAATACTAGACAAACTTCCTTCTCAAGATTTAGACTTAATCATACCATTACTAGTCTCTAGGCTTTCTATTCCACAAAGAAAAGCAGCAATTTTCAAATTACCGGATTGCGGAGCAACCTTTATGTTCTTAGGATCATTAATACACTCCGAAGATCTATTTATTACAGCATTCCAAAGGATATTTTCATCAATTCATTTAATTCCTCAAACTCTACAACAATATTTAATTTCACAACTCCGGAAAACAATCGAAAATGGTGTGGGACGATCACATATTACAGAAATAATTGAAATTGCAACACATTACAAAACAACATCTACGAAGAAACAAAGTAATAAAATATTTTCAAATGATTATGAGTCTTCTTCATCATTAGACATCATACTTACAATAATATGCGATTACTATCCACATTCACTAGTAAAAACAGATCCAAAAAGCCTTCAAACTGCTTTACAACAAGTTTTTAAATTAAAAAACATTCCATTATCCGCACTTAAGTTAGTCTTACTTACAAACTCACAAGTACCACTTACATTCAAACATATTTACAATCTTTCGCAAAAATCTCCAAATTTAGTTTTTGATTATTTATCTCGGCTTACAGAATCAGATGGCATCAGCGCATGGTACCAAATACTTTCTAAGATATCAATGATGGAAGTAAACATCCAAACAAGGGAATTTTTGATAAATTGTTACGAATATTATTTAATTGCTTGTCATAACAATCCGATTTACATTTCAGCAATACAGTCATCAGGAACAATGGAATGGTTCATCGAAGTCATTGGAAAAATGACTGATTCTATGTATCACATTACAATTTTTTCTTTGTTTTTATTGTTATTTCGAAGTTTTGGACAAACAGCGAAATTTATTTCGAGTTACAACGAATTTCAAGTGGAATTCGAGTCTTCTCTACAAAGAATCAACAACAAAATACTTTATTACGATGCCGTTCTTTGGATATTAGATGAAAAAAGAAGTTGTCCATTCAAAAATTTTTTGAATTCTGAAGAATTGGAAAAAATCAAATTTCCTCCACCTTCTTCTCCTTTTGTTTTTGAGTTTATTCCAATAGTATTAACTACTCTGATGAAAATAGCTGTTGCAGATTCAACTCCTAAGAATATTCCTCAATCCCCAACAACTTTGAGAATGAATTTGGGACTGGAAAGGACACATTCGCAAGTAAAATTATTATTGGATGTAACTGATGATGAAGATAAAAGTGATAATGAAAAAAGTGACACACCATTGAAATTAACCAATGAAATTTCAAATGAAATAACAAATGAAGGAAAAGATGAAATAGAAAATATGTCAATTATTTGTCCAGTAGAATTGAATACTATTCAAATAAAACCGTTATTATCGTTCTTCCTAGAAAATCTTATTCCTATGTATGAGAACGATTCCACATCATTTCTTATTCATTCCTTGAGTAGTTCACAAGTTTTGTTGCCATTATTACCTTTGGCGGAGAAAAATGATCTTTGTTTTCAATTTTTGACGAGAAGTTTGGCATTATCTTGTCCATTTCCTGTTTTCGCAGCTTTCTATGAACAGATATCGTATGATTTCAAGAAAATTTTGGAGTTTTTGGCAAGCTTGGCCGAATACTCTCAATTAGTAACGGATTTTCTTTACATCACTTCACCTATACCTTTAGCGACAACTGTTCCATGCAATACTATTTGTTTGTGGGTCAGACCATTGAGTGAATCGAATATCTTGACAATAACAACGAAATTTAATGATTTGACACTAAGATTAAGTTCAGAAAATTTATCTGTTGTTTCACAAAACGCGAAACTAAAATTGCCACAAAAAATTGGAGGTTGGATAATGATTTCTGCTATTTTCTTGGGAAATACAATAAGTATAACAGCAAATACATCACTTCTTAAATTAACTTATCAATATGATGTTGGAAGTTTTCAAAATTTCACTTTGGGAAATAACATTTCTCATTTCGACCTCCAAAGTGTCAGAGTTTTCAAAAATTCTTTGTCTGATGATGACATTTTACATTTATTCTCTTTGGGACCAAATTACATGGAGTTCGTCCATCATAACTTGAACCAAATGGAATTTAAAGAAACTCCGCAGTTTATTACCAAAAACGGTTATGTATCGTCACTTTACTTACCATTTTTGTCACTTTTTGAAGGAAAATCCTTTGAATCCAATTGTCTTTCGCTTTTAGAACTGAGTTTGAGTCCACCATTTAAGATGGTAAGACATTTAGCTAGAGGTCCACAAAAAGCAGCGATGGCAATAACTGTTGATAGAAGGAGAAGCTATTCTTTCATGAATTGCCTTCAATGCCATGGTGGTTTACATTTGTTGATTCATTTCTGCGGAGAAATAATTCTCAAGAAACCAGAATTATCTAATTTGTTATGGAAACTGTTCAACAAATTGTTTAACACTAGACCTGATGTCTACAAGTTCTTTGAACAGAAAAACGCGTTTAGTTTAGTTGGACATCTTCTTTGGTCAGGAAACATAAAACTCGATGAAGTTTTGGATTTAACGATGAAGAAATACAAGGATGAATTCATATTAACGAATCCTTTGAGCTTAAGAGAATGGATATTCGAAGGATTACTCTTCCATTCTGAAAGTCATAATGGTTTGTCGAATATTATTGAATCAATGAAGAATCCAAGAAATTTCAAGATTTTGAAAGAAAAGAAAACATTTGACAAAATCATAAATATTCTCTGTTCATCGTGCAAACACTCAAAGGAATATTTGGACTTACTTGGTAAGTTCGCTGTCGGTTTAACTGAACCACAAACTGCTCAGGAATACGGCCAATTAGTTTTTGACAGATTAATTCTTTATCACCTCACTTTTGACAAAAACAGCAATGAGAGTAAGATGCTTTCTATCAGATCCACTGAGAAATTGCACAAAATGACTGGATTGACCATTCAGCCAATCACAACTGTTTCTTTAATCAAAGTTTTATCCCAAATTTTGACAAAATATCCTGAAGTCAAACTTGATTTGGAGTTATTACTTCCTGGTGTTGTTACTTCGCCTCCTATTGTACAAGTAACATTAGTCACCACACTGATAAAGCATCTTTCAAGTGGATATTTGCAATTATTAGGCCACATTTTGAAAATTTTGAAACACATTGAAAAAATTGAAGAAGAAATTTTCAATTTTTTGAATGGTTTACAAAATATTTCATTTGTTCAGTTGACAACATGTTTCTTTTCCATTTTATTGCATAAAGAGACATCATCACATCTTGACCAATTATGTTTATTCGCCACAGAGAAAACGTATTGCGAAACAACAAATGATTTAGTCATCGCAATGAACCAAATTTTGGATGTAATAAGATTCACAGAATTGTCAAATGACGGTTTGCCACTTTTTGACAATTCACCTCCCTCATTAATGAACTTCATGAGTTTATTGTTAGACCAAGTTATTATCCTTAATTCTCCTGATTTATTGTTTAAGTTTTTCTTGAGTTTGTTTTCAATTCCTGGAGTTGCCCTTTATCGTCTTGCAACGGTTTGTTTTACGACAATGACTTCACTTTTGAATACCATCAATAAGAGGAATCAATGTAAATTGCAATCAGTAAATCAGGCTATTGTCCACATCACGACAATTTCGAGTTTTCTCATTCACAAGTTGAGATTAACTCCTGGAGCGATTAATCCATTTATTTTGAATTTAATTGAGTCATTTATAAGTAGTTTAACAACTGTTCTTGTTTCTGCACAGAACACAGACTTAACCAGTAGATTGGTAAACTTCTTGGCCGATTTATTCCACGTTGATGTTCCTCAACAAATGATTGCAAAAATTAAACAAAATTTGTCACTTTTATCCAAAGCATCCAAAGCGAAAAGATATTCAGAAATGATGGACAGAATGGACGAACCGAGTAACTTAACACCGAACAAATTTATCATTCCTTTCCAAGACGATTTGGACAAACTCCAAGGGAAATGGCTGAAAAAAGATGACATTGATATGATTGCTTTGTTTTCAATAAGTTGCAAATCAATTCACCATCAAACACAAGCAGCTGTTAAACTAAATATTGATGACAATGATGGTGACAATGTCATTGATTTGTGGCATGAAACATTCCATATTTTGCAATTCCCTGGTTCCCAAATTTTCAACAAATGTCCAACGAAATGGATGGTTTCTGACAGATCTTTGAATTTCCAACAGAGATCAATTTTGATTCCAATGAATCCTTCAATTGATAAACCATATATTCAACATTGGGAAGCAAAGTACGGATCAGATCCAATCCCTGAAGTTCGATTAACACTCAAAGATGTATTGAAATACACTCCTGTTTCATTACATATGGCAAACGATGTCGAGTTCTCAAGTCACGCATTGAGATTGAGTGGTATTTCAAATATTGATGGTGTTTTAATCGTTTCTCACAAAACATTGAGGTTTTATCAAAGAGTTAAACAGACATCTCAGACTTGTGATGTTGTTTTAACAATACAGATCTCAAAGATTGTTTCCATCAGACTTAAAACATTCAGACACCAACAGACAGGTGTTGAAATTGCCTGCAAAGATGCAACTTGTTACATTTTCGCTTTTGACACTGCGAATTTGAGAGAAATTTTCGTTGATGTAATGGAAAATCGACAGATTTCCATAATCAAGAATCTCAATAAGAAAGATTTGGATTTGACAACGAAACATTGGGTAGAAGGACAAATCTCCAACTTCGATTATCTCTTGTATTTGAATTCAGTAAGTGGAAGATCATGGTATGATTTCACTCAATATCCAATTTTCCCATGGGTAATTAAAAACTACAAAACATCCGAAATTGATTTGAATGATTCTTCAAATTACAGAGATTTCACATATCCTATCTTTGCACAAACGAATGAACAGAAAGAGCAGTGCATTTCATATTATAATACAACAGCTTCTCTTTCAAATGAACCTCATTGCACTCCAAACTACATTTCCAATGTCGGATCAACGATTTATTTCCTTGTAAGAGCTGAACCATTCACTGATGAAGAGATTTCATTCCAGAATGGATCATTGGATGCTGCTGACAGGACATTCCAATCATTCGACATTGCTTATCAGTTGATGACAGCTCCTGGAAACAAAAACGCTTTGGAATTAGTTCCTGAATTCTATTTCAATCCTGAATTACTTAAAAACATCAACAAAATAGAATTCCCTTATTCACCAATTACGGGAAGAACTGTTGATGATGTTGTTTTACCAGATTGGGCTTTGTCACACAGAGAATTTGTTCAAATCATGAGAAAAGCTTTGGAATCAAGTTTTGTTTCATCATGTTTGAATGAATGGATTGATTTAGTTTGGGGATTCAGAAGAAAAGGCGAAAATGCGTTAGAAAGATGCAATGTTTTCCAATCAACTGTTTATCAATTCGATCCACGCGATGTAATTGGAGACAGAGTTCTTTATAAGGCATTAAGTGGCCAGATTCATAATTGCGGACAAGCAGCACAACAACTGTTTGATAAACCACATCCAAAGAGAAATGATTCAAATCAAGATCTTAAAGGTGAATTAATTTTCCATTCTTTGAGAAAACCAATCGCCTCTGAACGAAATCTTCTTCAGTTTTCGTTGAATTCCGATCGATGGATACCAATTGTAAGTGACAAAACACAATTTAAAGCATTTAGATTGGTAAATGGATCGATTGAAGCGAATAAGAATGGTCAAGTTTCACCTGCAATTTCTTTCTCAGATGATATAGCTGCAACATGTTTCGATGTCATGGGAACGACAGTTGTAACAGGACACGCAATGCCTGTTATAAATCTTTGGAAAGTCAGAGACACAATTGATTTGTTTTTGACAATTCGCGGCCATTTAGTTCCTATTTCTGCTGTTTCTATTTTCGGACAACCATGGTCGATGTTGGCTTCTGGACATGAAGATGGTTGTGTCTCTTTGTTTTCAATGTGTCCGACGAGGTTTTTGAGAGTTCTTAGAGGAAACAACAGAATTAGAGTGAGTTTTATAAGAGTTTGCATTGCTAATGGAGATATCATCGTTTGCCAATCGAAAGAAGGTGAATCAATTGTAACTTTATGGTCTGTCAATGGAGAATTTGTTAATAGAATTACTTTGGAATCGCAATTATTAGATTGCGTTTGTACAACTTTCGTACAGGGCGTCAGACACAATTTTATTTTTGTTTTAGGTTCAGATTCAATCATTTACGTGTTTAAAGAAGATGATTTAATGTTAATCGGCACTTTTAAGCTGAATCATCCAAATCCTGTATCAATGTTCTTAGAAAAGGACAAAAACGTTTTGTTTATTACTCATTCAGACGGATTTTTATCTTGCTGGAAGATTGTTTAATGTATTATATTGTTTTTTTATTTAAAATAAATGTTATTTCTTTTTGTATTAGAATATTAGATTAATTTATAGTACAAAATCTCATTCAGGAGACATTTATATCCTAAAAATACATATTTTATTAACAATCAACATATTATGGGCCTATTGTCGTAATATCTATAGATGGACAAGGAGATAGATTATCTTATTCAGGGAATTGCATGACATACAAAAAATAATTATATTTAACTGTGAATTTGATATGAACAACCAAGCGAAAATCTGAAGAATCAAATTAACCAAATTTTATTCATAACAATTGTTAAAACTAATAGACATTTATAGATGAAAATAAATATGGAGTTTCATCCAAAACGAAGCTTAATATATTTACAGTAAAAAATAATATTTGGACTTTAATGTTTCTAATTTAAGGTAATTCAATGTCTTAGTATTCCTTGACGATTTATCAGTTAGATAAGCGAGTTCATAATATTCGAATGACAAATTTTTCCAAGATAAATTTTGGGATCTTACTGAGCTTTGAAAACAATCAACCATATATTAAGAAAACGAATTGCAACAAAATGAACCATAAATATTAAGGTTTGTCTTTTTGTCAAATTGATTTTATGAAACAAAATTGAAAAACAACAATTATATAGTTAGTGGTTAATGTTTTACAAGTTACAATGGAAAACCGATCTATCGTTGGAATATCCAATTTCGTTTTATGAGAAAGGTGAGAGAGGGTCAAAGTTGCTATTTGTCACTTTTCCACAAGAATATAATGGGGAAAAAGTTATCATATAGTTGATCTCATTCACTGAGGTGAGAGATGCATGTAGTGTAATGGTATAAAGAGTTGGATTGCTGCTCTAAGTCCTAGGTTCGAGACACATTGTCTTCATTTTTCTCTTTATTATTGACGTAAACTATTCAATTTTTGTGTTCTCCATTCAAATTTCAGAATTTTTTTTGCAGATTTCACGCTACATTCGAAGTTACCTTTTGTAACAACCACCACTGCCTACGAAAGACGAAAGTGTGTCACGATTTCACCCGGAAATCCGACGGTTGTTTAAGAGTAAGCACTTTTGGCACCTACTCTGAGAAAGGTAGGTTAAAAAGGTCCAAAATTAATACATGAAAATAATATTTTTACTGTAAAACTCGAAAAAAGTATCAAACAACTAGAGCTTGAACAAATCCGAACTTTGATTCCAAAGGGATAAATCGAATGTCTCCGAAAAGGCATCAAGACCAACCTGATTAAGTATACGGTCTAATGTAATATCACTTTCATTGACCTTCTTGGGTTCAAAGGTTTCGGGTTTAGGTTGCATTGTAGCGATCACTTCGATTTTAGGCTGCTTGTTAGTTGTAAGCAATTGTTCAAGTCTATTTTTAACAGATAATTCGTTCCTGAAAGGAATAAATTTAGCCAGTGTCGCGTAATTTTTACCAAATTGGTTATATTTCTCCAAAAGGATATTATCTTCATCAGTTGTCCACTCACGACGTGGGTTCTTAGGGGAATTATTACGTTTCCATCTATCAATACATTGCCTAACATTCCTTCCAGGCATCATTGAAGCAATTTGTACCCAATTATGAGTTCCATAGTGTTCAATAATCTGTCGAAGACGCTCGTCTTCTTCTGGTCTAAACTTGCTTGGACGTTTGATCTTACGATCTTTAAGGTGTAAAATGAATAATAAATGATTTAGATTTGAATTAATAATACTTTATAAATTGTAATAAACCGTTAATTACGATTGAATTTTTGGAGATTATTGTTTATAATTTTTCCTGGATATTATTAACTACATATAAAAATTATTAATCAGGTGTCCAACGGGGTTTAAATATTTTTTGTTAATTTTCGTAATATGTAGTATATACAGTTAAATAATTATATACATTAAATATCAAATTTATGCGATGGGCGGCCAAATATTTTTGAGATAATTTATTCTTTTAATTAGATTTGACATTTGTTAAGCTTCAATCAAACAATACAAATACAAAATATTTTATATCACTATTTAAATGGTGTAAAAGTAAACTATTGAATTTTGATATGAGAATTCAATTGAAGAAATGTTACAAAAATCCTTTGTTGTTAAAAGAATTTGCTTTAATATTATAGCGAGGTCCAATCTACGTTATTGCATTTTATGTTTTAAAAAATTCAATACCATTCAAATTTAAGTTAAAACCGATCATATTAAGAATATTTTAAGATAGTTTATATATATTCAGAAATAATATCAGATTCACTTAAATTTATTATCGATTTTACAAATCCAATATTTTTCAGAGCTATTGAATCTTGTCAAATTTTACTAGATATGGTAGATGAATAAATCCTCGATATTTTTAGATATTTATGATGTCTTATGAAATATACTAACATCTTCTATCTTCTATTTAATAACTGTATTTACTGAAATTTGTTCAGTGGATTAATATCATATATCAACTCAGTTTCCAAAAGTAATTATCTGGTGTATATTTCAGAGGGAACTTTTCAAAACTTTAACAGCTTATTCAATATTGAAAAATTTAACGAGCTTTTATTTTTTTAAAAAAGCTTAGAAACATTTTTTGTATTTATGATCTTTAATTAAATTAAGATCACTTATGTTCAATAAATAACTTTTATTATTCTTCACAAAAAATAACAGAAACAAAACAACTTAAAAAAAACGAATATTTCTTTTTCTAACCCAATGGAGCTTTAAACACTGCTAAAATTCAAAGTGTTAATTTTTTCAACTTTGTTTTTATCTTTTCAATATCATTTTTCCCATTGCCAACGAATTCTTTATCTTCAATTCACTGAGTAGAAATATCTTATTATCATTTCAACTTTTGAACTTTCGAAACAAAGACCAAAACTATTATCTAACAAAAATAATGGTATTATATGAATATCCATCCCATCCATTACTGAATAATCAGGCAATTAATGAAATATAGAGAGTACGTCAAAATCCAAAATTTGAGTGATTATGATTTCTAATTTTCTATTATATTTCTCACTGTTCCTCAATTATCAGTAAATTCCACATATTGAAACACAAAAATAACTAATTTTCGAAAATGAAATTTCAAATTTAATTAATTCTCCGATTCAACAATACATACAAAATATATATCTATAGAACCATTAGTTTCACTATTTTAATTATTTATCGGCACAGTTATTGTAAATACCCTCAATTTTTGACTTTTGCAACTTTTTCATGACCCCCTACCCAGGTATCTAAAATACCATTTATCGCCTTAAAAGCACCCTTAATTTATGCCAATTGACAAAATAAAGATATGTTTAGAATGCTGATATGATGGAGAATCATGCTGCATCATTATTGGCCAGCAATATATAATATTTAAGAAATCTACGAGATTATCTGATTTCATGAAACTCAATGTATACTAAGTTTCAAACTTTGAAATTTTAACATGTTGATATGGGTACATAGGGTTTATGATTCCAGTCATTTATTTAAAAAATTACAAAAATGAATTAATATGATGTGAGTAACAATGTAATAAACGCTTAATTACTAATATATTATTTTTGGTAGGAATGAAATGTTTTGGTGACATTTATAGAAGTTAAGCTGAGAATCAAAAATGCAAAAAATTTTTAAATATTACAAGCATTATTTGATGTCATTGAGTTTAGAGTCGTGTAGCTATATGAGTACAATATGTTATTGATGTATATATGCAATAATTGTGAAAATGAAATGTGAATCTCAAGATGAGTTGCATTACTGCGCTATAATTTGAATTCAATACGTACATAACATTACTAAATGTATTTTAAGATAATACAAAAAATTAAGCTTGCAAAAAGATATCGAAATGTAATTTTCATTAGATTCAAAGATCTGAATAGATTTGATTTTAACTATTGATGATTTGTCAAACCTCTATAATAATAGAATGTAGAACTAATTAAATATAATTAATAAAAAAATACAAATTTAAGTGATATTATAAGAGATATATGTGATGTTACCAATATGACATGATATTGGAGAACTGAGAATTGTGATGTGAGACTAAATATGATTTTATTATGAATAGGAGAATAATTTAGAAGAATTTCTTGAATTTAATATATCTGAATATGTAATTGGGCATATATTCTATATATATATTGGTATATTAACTAGAAATAAGAATAGGAAAGATTGTTAATGAATAATATGAGATTAAGCGAAAATATATTGTTCTAATAGATGAGTGTTGGAGATCAATATATGTGAAGAGGGATATGTGAGAGGAAATATGTAATTTAATAAAATAGCGATGAGAGAAAAAATAACAAGATTTATATGAAATTTGAGTATTGAAAAAGCTGATTAGTGATTTTATGTCTGTTAAAGGAATAGATATTCTATGAGAAAGATGAAACGAATTAAAGAAGTAGAAAAAAAATTTAATTAAGATTGAAAAAAAATTGGAGTTTATGCAAAAATAAAAAAATATATTGCTTTGGATGAAGATGTCATTCTGGGAGATTGCCTCTGCATGTATCCCAGAATGGAACAATCTTTTGCAATCAGAATGTGATTGCAAAACTTTGACCGACAAGAGTGTATTGTGCACTCTTGTCGGTCGCAGTGTCTCATTCTGGGAGACATTGCCTCTGCATGTATCCCAGAATGGAACAATCTTTTGCAATCAGAATGTGATTGCAAAACTTTGACCGACAAGAGTGCACAATACACTCTTGTCGGTCGCAGTGTCTCATTCTGGGAGACATTGCCTCTGCATGTATCCCAGAATGAACAAGTTCCGCATTCATAACTTGAATGTGGAACTTTGACCGACAAGAGTGTATTGTGCACTCTTGTCGGTCGCAGTGTCTCATTCTGGGAGACATTGCCTCTGCATGTATCCCAGAATGGAACAATCTTTTGCAATCAGAATGTGATTGCAAAACTTTGACCGACAAGAGTGTATTGTGCACTCTTGTCGGTCGCAGTGTCTCATTCTGGGAGACATTGCCTCTGCATGTATCCCAGAATGGAAAAGTTCCGCATTCATAACTTGAATGTGGAACTTTGACCGACAAGAGTGTATTGTGCACTCTTGTCGGTCGCAGTGTCTCATTCTGGGAGACATTGCCTCTGCATGTATCCCAGAATGGAACAATCTTTTGCAATCAGAATGTGATTGCAAAACTTTGACCGACAAGAGTGTATTGTGCATCCACCTTTGTCAATTAACTATGTTTTATAGAGACATCCCCTCACACATATTTTTTTAATATATATTTTAACCCTTTTTATTTTATTTTTTATTTTTTGTGCTTTATATAACTTATGGTGTGTACCGAACTATCTTACAGACTCTACTGAGCTATTTACACATATAAACATGTGACAATAACGCATACATACTCCCTTCGTATTCTGATCTCATGACATATTATCGCAAAAACTATATTTATACAACACACCTCATAAAGTCTCAGTTTAGCCCTATCTAAGCGTTCAAAAACCTATTTTCCCCGCGTAATCTGATTCTTCAGGCTCCGCTGATTCGATTTCTGCTGTCAGATCGTGAAAATATGCATCACATAACAAGATAAACTCAAATTACTTAACTTAATATTTTCCTTAAAATTTCCTATTCCTCGCTATGGGAATATTTATTATATCTTCCGTTTCCCCTCACAAATCTATTTAATTTTCTGAATAATACGTATAATAAAATGAATAACTCAAAAACTAAAATACAATATTAATATTGGGTAATGACTCGATATGATCAAAACTTTTGAATTCATACATTTTTTGAAAAATTTGGATTTTTCAAAAATGATTTTGTTTGATTAAGGAAAATATTAAGTTAAGTAATTTGAGTTTATCTTGTTATGTGATGCATATTTTCACGATCTGACAGCAGAAATCGAATCAGCGGAGCCTGAAGAATCAGATTACGCGGGGAAAATAGGTTTTGAACGCTTAGATAGGGCTAAACTGAGACTTTATGAGGTGTGTTGTATAAATATAGTTTTTGCGATAATATGTCATGAGATCAGAATACGAAGGGAGTATGTATGCGTTATTGTCACATGTTTATATGTGTAAATAGCTCAGTAGAGTCTGTAAGATAGTTCGGTACACACCATAAGTTATAATAAAGCACAAAAAATAAAAAAATAAATATTAAAAAGGTAAAATTATATTAGAAAAAATATGTGTGAGGGGATGTCTCTATAAAACATAGTTAATTGACAAAGGTGGATGCACAATACACTCTTGTCGGTCAAAGTTTTGCAATCACATTCTGATTGCAAAAGATTGTTCCATTCTGGGAGACATGCAGTGACAATGTCTCCCAGAATGAGACACTGCGACCGACAAGAGTGCACAATACACTCTTGTCGGTCAAAGTTCCACATTCAAGTTATGAATGCGGAACTTTCTATCATTCTACGAGACCTCGAAAAGAACCTCACATCGACTCTCTCTTTCCGGCATCTTTACCGCATAGAAAGCTGCTCGTTCGCAACTTTGTGTGCAATCTAAGAGATGATTGCGGTAAAGATGCCGGGAAGATTGACGCTGCAGCAGAGAATCACTACGGCTCTCTTTTACCGGCATCTTTACCGCATAGAAAGCTGCTCGTTCGCAACTTTGTGTGCAATCTAAGAGATGATTGCGGTAAAGATGCCGGGAAGATTGACGCTGCAGCCCCAGGCCGCACTCAGATTTCATCCCGCTACACAATTGTTCATCCAACAACTGTCATAGAGGTTGAAATTTTCGACCAGAAGTGAAACATATCATTTTTAAGACTGCGGCGCGCAAGCAAGTTTGAACCTTTCAAGGGTGATCAGTCCTTTACTCATTTCAAGACCTCTTGTTGCCTGATAAAACGATACTTCCTTCCTTGTGAGCCATTAAAAACCGCTTAAACCGTCACAACTTGCTTCCTAAATTTTATTTGCGGAGTAATTATCATGCATATTTTATCGGATAATAATATAAAAGCTAAATTTCATATTATTTTTTAAAGATATGCATTTTCTGTCTAAATTTATTTTTTCTGTTTCCAATTCACGGAATAATATTCTTACAAGCATATCCATAGCTAATATATATCATTTTAATAATAATAAAACCAAAATGATGTATTCTTCATATAGTTATTTAAAATTCGTTAACTAGAATTGTATTCAGAACGAGGCAAAGTTAGGAGATACATAAAAACCAATAACTTGATAAGTGATACCTTTTTTCCTGATATATCTATATGTGTTAATGTCAAACACGATTTGGAAAAATTAATTCTTTAAATCGGCTTATGAATAAGACCAACATCAAAGACATGGCTAATAAATTAATAAATCAATGTTTAATTACCGATTCATGCATTTTTTTCAAAATTTCAAATTTCAAATTTTTGTTTCTCCAAAATATTAATTGTTTCCACTAGATTAACAAATAAACAATAAATTGGAATAATGTAATGCCCAATCATTCATTTTAAATTTTAGATTTAAAACAATATTTTTCTCCATATTATTATAACATGAATCGCTATGATATAAGAAATATATTTTCAATATTGAAATTGAAAAATTCTAAAATTTTTGAAATTCAATTTGAGTGTGATGATCGATAACATATATTTTTTAATTAAAATATTGTGTCGCTATCATATAAATATACTATTTCTAAATTAAAAATAGGGAAAAAAGTACTATTTAATGATGAAATTGCAAATAATATCAATATATATATATTCATGCTGATATATTTTGGGAACAGATTGGAAATCACATAAATAGGATTGTGTTAGTTTGTTATGGATATAAAACAAATTTTCGAGCTAATTGAGCGAATTTAAATCACAAACACTTATATTTTCTATTACAAGGTATATTTGTAATATACAACCAGTAAATAGCTTTCTCTAACTTTTACCAGTTTAGATGATAGCAAATTAGATACGCATTTCATGACCCCTCACCAAATTCCATTAAAACATATACAAATAAAAGTACTAAGTGGGTATCATCTAACCCTAGAATTATAGCTTCTAGGACTCATCCTAGATGGTAGTTCTGGAAAAACACCTGGTTTTTGGTTTAAATGAGATGTTATATCCAAAATTTCTTATTTTTTAGTATATAATAATGATTTAATAGTTCAAATTATTCATTAGTTAAAAAAAATTTAAAATAAATATAATATTTACAAAAATCAAACACTTAATGTCAACATCTTGATCTCATCATTCTCAAGAATTAGACAAGCTTTGTTGTCCAATTTCGAGAAGTCGATAAACTTAACTTTCGCATCGAGTTGAGATGAGTAAACAAGAGTTAAATCGAAAATCCTGTAAATGCTGACATTTCTTTGTGAACCGCAAATAAACAAGAAACTGCCGCAGTCATGAGTTTCACCAATGCAGCAGCTTAAAGGCATAGAATTAATAATACTCGTTCTGCAAATGAACCTGCATTCTTCAGTATAAACTTCAATCAATGTCATATTGTTGCAATAACCAATAACAACAACACAACCTAATTCCGAAATCAAAACTTTCTTCGCCTGACCAACTGTTACATTTGTAGTAGCAATTGGTGAACAATTCAAATTCGACAATAAAAGTTTGTTGTGACTATCAATTGATGCGATTAATCCACATCTTTGGGAAACAACAGCGTCAACAATTGGAGCAGAATGACCAACAATATAAGAAATATCATTATTGTTAATCAAAGTAACTGTTGAATCGACAGATCCAACAATGATGTAATCACCATCAGAATGTAAACAAGGTATCATGAAATTGTTCTGGATTCCTTCTGTTTTGTGTTTCGATTGATAATTATAGACATTGAAGTCAGTTCTCCATGAAGTAGTGTAGAGAACTGTTCCTCCTGGTAAATTGAAACAAACGTGCTTTCCAAATTCGGAATACTGGCCAAAGAATCCACTAACAGCTGCTGTTTGAATTTGACTTGGATTCGATGACAAAAACGAAGTGATTTTACCATGAATGTCAATAGTCATTACGATGTTATTATCATAACCCATTGCTGTAACATTTTGTATGTTACAATCAACGTTTTCTATTGTTACATTCAGTTTTTCGCACAAAGAAAGGGATTGGCAGAAAATGTCACTCATAAATCTTTTCGGATGAGGTTCATCGAACAATTTCGAAGGCATCATTCCGAAATTCATGGCGTTTGCAATCATTAATTCATCATTTACGTCGCATTTCTCTGGATAAGAATATTGTGGAAATACGTTATGAATGTCGAAATTCATTCTCAAGTATCCGAACATCAGATCAATCCATTTGTTTATGTTGTTCGATACATAAGGACTTTCCAAGGCCAATCTGTTTAATCTCACAAATTGAAAAGCACTTTTTGCCCATGGTGGCAAAATTACGTCATTTACAGCAACTCCATCATCTGTTTTACCAAATTGGTAATGACATAAGTTCTCAAATGCAATGTGCGTCGTAAAGAACTCAGGAATAAGTTCTCGGAAATCACTAATTGTTCCTGTCACGTTTCTCCAAACCGTCAAAATTGAATTGAAAATACGGTTTGTATTATCAAAATGGCCACTTTGTAAATTGATTGCCAAAGTTGTGAAAGGTTCAATTCTCAACAAGAAATTGACGACAAAACCAGGATTCGAGCAGCACTGGACGTAGAAAGGACTGAAATCATCTGAGAAATCTTTTTGGTTGTCGATTAATCTCTCTAATCTTTCTTGATTGAATTCTCCAACCATTTTTCCGAAATCTCTGTAAATATTTTCGTCATTTAGATCGAGTTTTTCAATTTGATAGTCTTTGATGACCCATGGGAATATTGGATATTGAGTTATATCAGAGAAAGATCTTCCGGAATACATATTCAACCAATAAATGTATTCGTAATTTGAAATAACTCTTTCTTGCCAAAGTTTCGTCAATTTCGAAATATCCATTTTTTCTTTCCTTTGAACAACAATTGCAGAAGGAAGTCCTGCTTTAGTTATTGCATCCAAGAAAGAATTTCTTTGTTTGAAATCTTGGAAAATAATAAAAAGTGTCTGTCCACTTTTTGTGAACATTTCCAAAGCAGAATCGACCATTTGATATCTTCTCCAAAGGATATGTCCGACTTCTGCCAAAAAGATCTCAACAAATTTAGGTCTGTTGTAGGATTGCGAACCCATCATTGGAATCATTTTTTCGCCTTCGAAAATCACTGATTTTTTAAGAACGAAAATTGTTCCTTGAGAAACTCCTTTTGGAGTAACACTTGAACAGATAAATGATTCATCGAATTCTTCAAGTTTCGCTTTGAGAATATCTTTATCAATAGCGATTAATTTCTTCTTTGTTTCCTTGACTTTTTCATCATCATGAATTGATTTTTCATAAATTTCATCAGCATGATCTTTGAAATGTTTAATTGTCTTGATTCTCGCGTGTCTTCCAAATGAATCAATGTTATCAGACAATCCATAATGAACATCTTCAATTCCATTTCTCCAAAATGAAACTGTTCCTCCTTTAATCATCATCATATTCCTTGACAAAGCCAAATCTGATTCAGCGTGTTTTCTTTTCATTGTTGATTTGATTTTGTCGTAAATAGGAAGAATCAGTTTCGCTGCCAATCTGTAAAGTTCTTCTTCTTCTTGGAGTTGGGCATCACTTTTAATACTTACATCAATCATTTCATTGATGTTTTGTATGTTTTGTTTAGACAATTCATCATTGAGTTTAGAAACGTAATCTTTATCATGAGAAATGTCTATTTCTTGCCCATCATCAAGCTTTTTAATTAAATCAGTCAATCCATTGTATTTTTCAGTCAATTCACCAGAAATTTTCGAAACCAAAACAGCAGGAATTCTGAAATTACTCGAATTACTTGAATTGTTTGCAACTAATGCCATGTAATCAGCAATATCTATCGCTAAGTCATTATTTACATTCATTATCGACTTAAACATCGAAATATACAATGTCCTTAATTCAATGTTATTAAATGTCAAACCGCCGCCATAAGTGGTCGCTTTCAAAAGTGACACACAAAAGTCAGTAAATTTAGATTGATCGACATTAAAAATGTCATCATTATTGAAAGTAATTTCGACACTTTTGATGACAGCAATGAATTGGTCGAAAGAAGAGAAACAATGAGGATTTTCGAAGTTGATTTTGAACTTGAAAATAACCCATCTCATTAAACAAATCAAACTATCTTTATCAGCTGCATGATAACTTAATGTGCTCTTTGATAATTCATTTGTCAAACTCGTGAAACACTTCATATAATCCAAATTAGAAATAGAACAAGTTATATCGAAAAACAACAACAAAGTTGATAATAATTTGATGTTCTTCGCAATAATTCTTGCTAAAATCGGCATCCAAAGATGACTTTCTTCTTGATCTAACTGTGCCAAAAAGAACATGTAAGTAATCCATCCACTGAATGGTTTCTCAAACTTTTCATAGAATTTTCTAATAATAAACAAAGCTGCTTTTTGTTTTGTTCTATCAACAAATTCAATTAACTTGCAAATCAATGGTAAATAAGGGAAACATGGACTATCTTCTGATATCCTTGAAATCAAAGTATCAAATAATGATTCTATTGGTTCATTGATGATTTTTGCAATTGTTTGCATCGCACTCAATAAATGAATATTTTCGGATTTAGAACAAAGTTTTTCAACACGAATAATGCATTGCAAACTCAGTTCTTCGAGATATTCGTATTTAAAGAATCGAACAAAAGGAGAAAAGAAATGATACTGACTCAAAATTGACAAAATATCAGTAGATCTTTCATTAACCATTTTCTTGAACAAAGTCAATAATATTTTAATGAATTCGATTGATTCGCATTCATTTATCATTAAAACTAATGTTGATGCATCATTGAAAGAAAACGGTTCTCTCTCAATTGTTTTCAATGAATTGAAAAATCTCTCAGAAAAATTCTGAAGCGGAAAGTTTTTGTACGTTTGTAAACCTCCGATCAAAAATTCAGAATAAGGGTTTTCCATGTTAAATCTGTATCTTGGCATGCGAACCCAGTATTGGAATAAAGCGGGATCACCAAACAAGAACTCCTCAATTTCTTTTCTTATTTTTGGTTGAGTGAAACAATTATAAAGAGCAACTAATTTCGAAACATTATGAGAATCGAAATATTCTGGACTTAATCTTCTAAAAACTGCATTTAATGATCTAAACAGTTTCTGGTGAATGAAGTAATTCTGCATACGATTTGTCATTTGTATAAACAAATCAATACAACTTGCAAGGAATTCATTTGGTTTAGGAGCATTTGGTGTTGCTTCAAAAACAGGCAAAATCAACATCGGACCACCACAATTAACAAATGTACTTGTTAATGTTGGAGTGTAAGGAATAATTAAACCTTTAAATATGGCATCAACTTTTCCTGAATTTACGTCAATGCATTGATAATCATTTGTTAAACTCGCTGAGTATTTTGATGCATTATTATCAGCAAATATCATAATTGTTTCTAAGTCACAAATTATTCCGCCGATATGACATGTCACTTTTCCATTCAAACCATGATTTATTGTTTTATCAAAGAGTTTTGTTTTGTTTATCTCCAAAGTGACTTTTGAATCTGTAACTCTGAAAATGATATGATACAAAATTTGGTTAAATAATTCGAAGTTAATTTCTTCATTCAAATTTAAACCTTGTATCAAAAATTTCTTGTTGAAATAGACAACTTTGATGTTTGATTCTGCATCACTCAATGAAATGATGCTTCCATTTGATCTGTTGTTTCTAAGTGAAACATAAATTTTCACTTCGCTTTCTAAGTCAAAAATTTTTTCAAAGTTTCTTTTTGGACCTGTCACATGGAAGAAAGTCGTTGATCTGTCACTCTTGTTCTGTTGATCGAATATTAGATTGATCAAAGTGACGAAAAACCTTGAAGCACTCATTGGAGGTTTTACAATTGTTTGGAGAAGTTTTGACAGTTCATTTTTGTGGAAAAATGAAGTCGAAATATGGGAAAGGAAAGGAGTTTCAATCATTTCAATTGTATAATTATCATGGATATAATCAATCATATCACATATGATGTTTGACTTGAAAAATTGATATTGATTTCCTATTGAAAATTTTGAGAGGCTGTAAAGTGCTTGAATCACTTCACTTGAATAACTTGTATCCATTGCCAGTTTGTAGATACAAGGTATCATTGATTTCACAACGATTTGTTCACATTCTATTGTACTTGACTTCATTTCTATCTTTTTACAAACCAAAACAGAAAACAAAGCATTCCAAACATTGATATTCAACGAAAATTTGTTTTTGTTTTCAACAAAAATATCAAAGAAACCATCCTGTGATATTCTACTAATGTATTTGAAAGAATCATTACATAACAATATCAAAAAATCACAAACAGATAATAAAAATCTTGTACAAAGTTTTTCATCGTTTGAAAGAGAAATTAAACAACAAATTGCTTTGTCTAAATCACTCTGAATAACAGCAGTAACAATATTATCTGGGTTTTGTGATGATGCACTTGCAATGTGTACTAATAATATAACAATGGCTTCTGAAAGTTTTTGGTCGTCAATTTTTTGGGAAAGTGACAAAATCCATTCTTTGAAAGAGTTTATCAAAGAAAAAGGAGTTTTCGAACTGACCAAACTGGAATGGATGGCTTCTATTGCGAAATTCCTTGTGTCCTGTTCGAAAATGAGGTCGAAAAAGAAAAGTGTCCTTTGTTGATTGCAAAAGAACAAAGTATTGGCAAAACTGCCTGTTAAACATACTTTTAACATATATAAGAGTGTTGCTCTGGCATTTTTGTATTTGTTTATGTCCTCTTTTTCTGGATTTTGTAAAATAACCGTTCTAAATTTTGCATCAATTTTAATTAAGGCGTCGTAAAGGACGGAAGAGGTAAAGAACTTGAAATTGACCTTGTCTTGGATCAGATTAATGATGTATGATACAATAAATCTGTAAACAACTGGATCTCCGTACAAAATAATTCTGCTGAACAAATCTCCAAGCAAACTCGATATATTCGGTGGATGTCTACTGATTATCTGCGTTAGTAAGGTAAATGACTCACAAATGACACAGTATTGTATTGAATTTTTGTAAATAAAAGCTTCTCTTTGAAATACGTTGGGATTGAACAATATTTCAATGACATTTGTCTGGATAAGTAAATGGGAGAACTGGTCGGTTTGTAATATGATAGCTAGGAAGTTCCTTTCGACTGCTGTGTCTTGATATGAAATTTTATTTCCGACATAATTGAGAACTATGTTGAATATGGAGTTGATACACATGACAACCGATGTAAATGATGTAAATAAGAGGTTTGTATGCGGTTCTGCTTTGATTTGTTGAGGTTCTAAATCTATTGGAATATATTCGCCAAAAGTTCCTGACGGAGTGAACCAAACTGTATTTGATTCGACTGTAAGAGGTTCTTTCTTAGTAAATCCGACATTTGTTAAGTCTAAATTGAAATGAAAAATATAAGTTTCGAAAACTTTGAAAATACTTGGCATCCATTCTTCAAACTTCTGAAATATACTTGGATAACTAGTAAACATGATCTTTAGAGAGTCTAATGCTAGGCAAAACACTGAAAACCATTCAACTCCATTCGTATTTTGAATGTAAGCAAGTAAATTCGAAAAGTATACGTAGAAGTCGTTTATTTCTTCACCACGAAATGCTGTGAGTTGATGGTTTGCTGTTTTGATGCAGATGAAATATTCGGCAATATTCGCTTGGGAAATTTCGAAAAATCATGGATCAACTGCAAAATCCTTGAAATGAGAACATATAGATCCAAGTAAGAAGTCGAATGATTTCGTATCTTTGATTGATTTGTGGTTTAAATGAATTAAAGAATTTACAAAAGTTGTATAGAGCGTAATTGTATCAGAACCTGCAGAATATATTGCTTGAAATGACGCTGACAACTTTTTTAAGATAACTCTAGTAATAAGTAAAAAATCTCCTAAAACATCTTCAGGAAAATCGGCTGCACATTTGATAATGTAAATGACACTACGCCATTTATTCTGCATGGTATCATTTGAAGCGATGAATTCAGGTTTAAATTGGTATTCGAAAGCTAATAAGGCTCTCATGAGGTCGTATGAAAGAATTTTTAGATCTTCTATCCTTTCTTTAAGCGGGAGATCGCATTCGTATTGCGCAGCTTCGAAATAACTCTCTGAAATCATTGTCGGCAAATATAAAGCTTCAGGTAAGAAGATTTCTATATCATGTTGGTGACTTTTTATCGCTTTTATAATAGTTTCACGCGGAAATGGATCATAATTAAATTTAGTTGCAAATTGTAATAGCGGATGATTGTTTTGGAGAATGTTTTTCGCGCTATTTTGATTGGAAAAGTAATAAACATACATATCTTGAAGGAAAGAAAACGAAGAATTAGGTGACATATTCTTCATTGTTTGATCATTATTCATTCTGATTCAAACGATGAGAAATCATACAAAAATTTTTTCATCACATTTTAAAGTCTTTGATGGATGTCAGTATTGTCAAAAATCGGATAAAAAAATGAGTAAATTACAATATTTCAGATTTATCAATATCAGAATTAGAAAAAATATAATATATCATTTATTTGAACTTCATGAGATGATGAGAGGGGATTTGAAGCTTTTTCTAAACTTCAAATTTAAACTTTTTTGAAAGGGAGTGTGGGACAAACTATCCAGTGTCACTTTTTTATTAACCTTATTTTAAAAAATTAATAAAATAATAATAAAAAATTATTTGAATCTTTTACATGTTTCATATTAAGTTCTGTCAAAATGTAAGCTATTGAATTTTTTGAGAGGGAAATAATCGTCGAGGAAGTAAAAAGTGACGCTTTAGGAAATATTATTAGAAATATGATAATAAATATATTTGGAAAAAATATGTTTTTTTCAAAAATTGAAATGTTCATAGAATATTTTGAAATATGTAGGGAATTGAATTCGGTAATATATGATAAACAGGATTTTTAAATTTCAAGGAAAAATAGCTTTTGTGAATACTTTTGAGAACTCTTCTCAAAGATCATGATTCAAATATATTAAGGAGCCAAAATATTAGAGATGAGTTCACAATCAAAATTTTCTCACTTTTCTTCCAAATTGACATCCTTACTCACCACTTTCAAGTTTTTCATACATAAAAAAAAAAAGGTAGTGGGGCTTCCAGGGGCTGCGCCCCTTCTAGCCCCTAAGAAATTTTGCCCAAGACCCAAGAGGAGGACGAGCCAGCCGTTGACTTTTTTGTAGAGCACTCAAAATAGTATAACTTTGTCCGGACAAGTAAGGGTCTATCGTCGCTACAGGAAAAGTTACAGGCGTTCCAAGGAAGTAAACTTTGAGAAGCCTTTTCCCCTTATAGAATGAGATAGGACGGTTATTTTACAAAACTGACAACACTTTGACAGAGTAGTTTTTTGTGCTGAACAAAAAGTGTCATATAAACATCTGTCAAAAACCGCTTTTTAACTTCACTTAAAATGCCACGTAAGCTACGTAAGAATATACGTAAGAGGAAGGGAGCATTGAAACATCCAATAGTAAAACTGACACCACAACAACAGTTGCAACAACAAATGATGAATGACCCCACTATGTTGCAACAAATGTCAAGCAACCCTATGCTTTTAAACCGAGTTATTGGTGCACAGAGTGGAGGTTTAAGAGCGGCACTTTTAGCGAAAATGGCAGGCTATGGTGGAGCTGCAGACGGAACAGCTTATAACCCTCAAAGTCAAATGAATTTGAGTTCACTCAAAAATCAAATAACAGATGTCAAAAAGTCAAACATAGACATACAGAAACAAATAAGTGAAAACGAAAAGAAACTAGAATATGACAGACACACAAAGAAACTCAATGAGTTAAACGTAGAGAAAAAGAAGAAAGAAGAACAACTGAAAGAACTAAGTACAGAGGAATATGCGAAAAAAGTGTCAGAAAAAGCAGCAGAAGTAGCAAAAATGGAACAAGATGTTATAAATTTGAAAAAACCATACTACTCAATATAAAGTACTGAAAGATGAAGAAATAAAACAAAAAGCCCTGAAGACATATATGGATAGCGATGAGTATAAAAAAGAAGTTGAAGCAAATGTAAAGGCAGAAAAACTTTTACAGTTGCAAAACCAAACCGTACAGTATGAAAACTTAGCACAAGAAAGTAAAAATAACGACGCAGCCATGCAAAAGGCAATGAAAAGCGCAGAATATATAAAAGCTAATAATGACTGGTTAGATGCCCAAGCCAACGCCAAAGCAGCCCAACTTATGGGTCAATAAGGACAAAAATACAAGCGGATGAAGACAGTTCAAATGAAGCTTTAATGAATGCTGACTTTAAGAACGCCTTCGAAGCTCTTCATAGTAAGGTGAAACTAGTGAACGACTTCTCATCTGGAAAGAAACTGAAGTCTGAAGGTTTCGACAACGAGTTAAGAGAAGTAGCACAAAATATGACGAAAATAACAGATGCAGCAACGAGACAGGCAGTTCAAAGTGCCTATGACGCCGTTAGAGCAACTGTTGTGGAAAGTCAAGAAAAAGAGTTACAACAGACCAAAACAGACCTAGTAATGCTTTCTTAAGAACGAAAAGTCAGGTAGGACATTATGCTGCAGATGGAACATATGTGCCAGCTGGTGGAACTTATATACCAGCTGGTGGAACTTATATACTAGCTAGTGGAACTTATATACCACCAAACCCTCCAAGAGAAGCACCTGCACCAGGACTACCTAAAACATTTACATCGTCACATGGACACAGACACAGGCATGCACCAAAACCAACACAACAACCAACAGTTCAAAACACTGCACCACAACCAACAGTTCAAAACACTGCACCACAACCAACAGTTCAAAACACTGCACCACAACCACAAACAGAGCAAGGACATAAAAGAAGTAGAGAACAAGGAAACCAAGAATTCTTAAAAATGCTTAAGGAAAATTATGGTTACCCAGATACTCTTGACTTTAGTGACAGATATAAAGAAGCTATTAGAAAGTTCAAGGAAGGAAATACTGACCCGAACCTATTTAGCTTTATGGTTCAGCACCAAATGGGATATAATTTCAAACCTGGAAAATACAAGCTCGCTAAGGGATATGATTTAATAGCATATCATCCAAATGACATGAATGAATTTACTCCGAGATATTTGGTGTCAGAGCTAAATGATAATTCAACTCTCTTCATGAAACGCGTAAAAAATAGAGACGGAACGAAAGAAGAAAGGTTTATGAGTCCGGATGACTTAGATAGGGAACTTTTAAAAACGGTCTCGGAATATATGAAATGCCAGCAGATGAGGTACAAGAAACTCCACAGGAAGAAGTTCAGATACAACCAGACATGGAAGAAATAGTTCAGCAACAACAGCTAGAAGAGCCTGAAGGAAACAAACAAGTCCCTCCTTTGGAAACTAACTTCACAGAACTAGATGAAGATTTGGAACAGCCGAAAAATCTTGACCCTCAACAAGTGTATGCGGGGAATATGGAATCTTTCCAAGAGTCTAAGAAAAATTCGGCTGACATAGTAGAAGAATATCGAAAAATGTTCGCCGACATACAAAAGACTCCAACATCAGATGAAAATATTCAGCATAGAATGGAAGTACTGAAAGAAAATGTACGCAAATACAACAATCCTTTTTACTTACGACCATATAACGTTCAATCTTTGGCTGAACTCGGTGAAAATAAAAGGTTAAATTTCAACAAAACATATAGAAATGAAACATTGTTTAAAGTTCATTCAGAACCTAACCAATATGGAAACAAACCTACTTTTGTTTCTGCAGACTATGGAACTACAATGAGATGGGGTCATAAAGCTAATCCGGATAGGTGGTTCATAAACTTACAACCACAATTCCAAGAAGTTGTAGACGCAATGGAAGTGAATGGTGAACCAGATATAGCTGGTATTTTCAGCGCGGCTTTAATGCCATTGAAAGATATGAAACATGCAGATATTTTGGACCAGTATGAAATGAACATGGCTGATGGAAATATAACACCTGACGTTCTAGAACATTTATCTCAAAGAACTACACAGAACCATAGAGATGGTATATTTGGTGAAGAGTTTAGAAAGAAAGTTAGGGAGATAGAAGGAAGAGAACCTATTGTACATAACCTTGCAAACGAAAGTTTACAAAATGTCATAAAAACTTACTTTGCAGACAATGAACTGAGAAGGGATGAATATTTAAGAAAACTCAAATGGACAGTACCAAATGAAATGTTAGTATTGAAAAACATGTTCCTTGACAAAATAAAACCAACTACAGAAATAAATGACGCAAGACTGAAACATTGGGTAAAAGCTTTCCCATTCACAAAAGATATTATTGGTAACATGGAAAGAAAACCAGAATGGCTACAAAAACATATATTTGGAAACGAGCATATTCCATATGGACAAGCTATATTTGAAGAGCTTGAACCGGAAACTCAGGAAAGAGTCATGCAAACAATAAGCGACGACTCAAATACAAACTATGACAAAATCTTTCTAGGATATTGGTTACCTGAGATGGGCGACCAGAGCCAAAGGCAAAAAGGACATGGGAAATTTACAACATACTAGGTAAACATGAGGCAAAGATGCAACAACTTGAAGCAGAGGGCAAGTTACCAAAAGCGACACCAAAGAAGAAGAGTAGAACAAAGTGAAAATAGTGAAGAAGTAACTTCATCTAGTGAAAGTAGTGGCAATGAAGGAAAAAGAAGAGTTAAAAACTCAGTCAGGAAGAAAGTAAAGCTTGGTACGAGTGGGTTCTATTATGACACATAAATCCAACTATTCTATATTTTTACCCATATGAAATGTACGCCGCTCAGAATATAACGCCAACAGTTTGGATGCCATGAACGGAAATGTTTCCGAATGGTATAACGAATGCGACAATGCCATTAGAAGGTCAGAAATAGTTCCTGGAACTTACGAATATACAACTGCTGTTTCTTATGGAAACGTAGGTGAGTTTGGAGAAGGTTCTTCAACAACAGTAGATATTGCTTGCGACAGGTTTCATATTATTTTCTATTGACAACTCATTCTTATACGTGGAACAAGACATTGAAATAAAACCTTCTGCCAAGTTGTCTGACAAGAAAGGTTGCAATGGAATTTTCTATGTCGGATACCAATATGCTCCAGAAGTTTTCATGGGATATAAGATATATTCTAACTCTGACTTAGTTCAAACAGTAACATGGGCAAACTATGAATGGTTCGCTTTGAGAAACTCAGTACAACCACAAGCTAGAGAACAAACAGACCAGTATGCAAATATTGAGAAAATAAGAAGACTTGACCCTAACGTTCCAGGAGTTTATGTTAACCTTTCTGGTTCAGATGGAACTGCTGCCACTAAAGTAAAACTGAAACTTAGAGTTCCTTTGTCATCT